TATGGCGAGATTACAACATTAACTGATTTGACACAGCTCTGTGTGCCGTGGGTTTCTGCTGCGTGGATAGATGGGATAAAACCAGGTAGCGGGATGGGATTTGGGTTAGCTTGCTCTCAACAGCGATAGTAACGTTTATAGTAAATGAGTAAAATTATATCAGAGATGTTTATTACGGGTTCTGTGTGTCTTGATTATCGAACAGTTGAGTCATGGTTGCAGTTCCTGCACCTATATAACCATCTGCCACCCACTGTTGACTAACTTTCCCCAACACTTTCTCTCTCTTTTTGCAGAACCAGCGACAGCGGCACAACCACCGAACTGGCGCGTGAGAATCTCTTCCAGCCGAACATGGACGATGCCAAGCCGGCCGGCAATAGCACTAGCAATAGCAATATCAATGCCAACGGCGGCAAGCCTTTAACCACCTACGGCGATGTCTTTGGCTCCTTAAACGGATCGTCTTCGGGTCGCGGTGGTATTTGCTCCATGGAGAATCAGCCGCCCGACGAGCATCAGCAGCTGGGTACGCCCGCTGGTGCCTCCGCACCCGAGGCGGCCAATTCGGCGCCCCTTTCCGTTTCCGGTTCGGCATCGGAACGCGTGAATAACCGGAAACGCCACCTGTCCAGCTGCAACTTGGTCAACGATCTGGAGATACTGGACAGGGAACTGAGCGCCATCAATGCACCCATGCTGCTCATCGATCCAGAGATTACCCAAGGAGCCGAGCAGCTGGAGAAGGCGGCCTTGTCGGCCAGCAGGAAGAGATTGAGGAGCAACAGCAGCAGCGAAGACGAAAGTGATCGATTGGTGCGCGAGGCTCTATCCCAGTTCTACATACCGCCTCAACGCCTGATCTCCGCCATTGAGGAGTGTCCCCTGGATGTGGTCGGCTTGGGTATGGGCATGGGTATGAATGTGAATGTGGGAGGAATCGGTGGCATTGGTGGCATCGGTGGCATCGGAGGAGCTGCAGGCGCTGGCGTCGAAGTGTCCGGAGGCAAACGGATGAAGCTGAACGACCATCACCATCTCAACCACCACCACCATTTGCATCATCATCTGGAGCTGGTCGATTTCGATATGAACCAAAACCAAAAGGATTTCGAGGTGATCATGGACGCCTTGAGGTTGGGAACGCCGACGCCGCCGAGCGGTGCAAGCAGCGATTCTTGCGGACAGGCGGCAATGATGAGCGAGTCGGCCAGCGTTTTTCACAATCTGGTGGTCACCTCGTTGGAGACATGAAAGTACCAGTGAATCACCGAGCAGCAGACAAAGATTAAAGAGTTTAGATTTTATATAAGACATTTGCATACAGTTTTTAAGCGAACATTTAGGCTATGACCCCCATGTACTAACCTTACCTCTAAGCTAATTATATAGAAAGGAGCAGAAGATCGGGCGGATTGGCCAGTATTACTCATTAATGGCAGTCGCGATTTGTACAAACAAAAATACACAAAAATATAGTTGGTAGGCAAATGAGAAAAAGAAAAAAAAAAAACAAAAACAAAAATCAAAGAATTTGTAGTCAAAACAGCAGAAGGAACAGCAAACAAAAACCAGAACAATCTATAAGTTAAATTTAAAGCAAGGAAAAACAACTCCATAGTTGTAACAAATCAACAAAAATTCAGTTGTGGTTTCCCTTTCGGTTTCGCAGAGAGGTCCGTTTAATTAAAAACACTACTTCCAATTAAACGAAAAACTATATGTATATGCCAGTGACATTCCACATTGCTATCCCTACTGAATTTTTGTACTTTCTACACTATCCCCATTGGATGTTTTAAATATCTCACTCACGAAAATGTCAAAAACTATGTTGCGTTTGAGAAATGTGCGTACATACCTATATATAGTTTACAGAAAACCTCCGAAGTTCTCCTAGTCAAAAACAAACAAAACAAACGAAAGAGAACACTCCAAGCGATCCAAAACAAATTCTAAAAAACAAACCATGCAAGGTTTCATTTATTAAATTCCAAAAAAAAACTTTGTTTATTAAGCTTAATTGGTTCCCATTTTTTGGCCTGTGCACAAATACAAAAGGATGAAGACAATGTTCTAATAAGAAAACTGAGACATGAAAGCAAATGAAAATAGCAATTAAACAACAAAAAAAAAAAAACAACCACAAAATATTATACAAAAAAGTGCAATTAGAATTTTTTAAAATATTGAAAGCAAGCCTCAAAAACAAAAACAAACAAAAGTGCATTCAAAAAGATTTAAACACAAATCGGGCAAATTAACAAATTATAAAAGTAATAATTAGTAGTAATATATAGTAAACAAATTAAGGCAAACAAGCAAAAACCACAAAAAAACAACAATTTTTTCTTCGAAAAAAATTACGGCTGTGATAGAATTTTAAGTTTTTGGCTAAAACAAAAAAAGAAAAGAAACCACAAAAAATTATCATTTAAAACAAAACAGAAAGTACTACAAAATATATACCAGGCATTAAATCATGAATATTATGATCTATGTGTAAACGAACATTTAGTATTAGTAAGACAAAAGGAAAGAAAAGAAAAGAAATGAAAAGAAGAGAAACTAATCGAGTAGATGAAAAGCGCGTGCTGTACTTTCTTTCCGCGAGAGAGAAGCGAAAGAGAGGATCCCTCGACTTGCGCTCGCTTGGCTTTCATTGATTTTATATATATATATATAGATATAACATATATTTTTTTTTTGCATTTTCTATAAGTCGCCTCGCCTCGCCTAAGCTTTCGATTTCGTTTTCGTTTCACGTTCCTCGCTCCTCGTCCCTCGCTTTTGTTTTCGTTCGCGTTCGCGTCTTTGGCCCAGAAGAAACCAGACCACAAACCAACCAATCTGTTCCGTTCCGTTCCCCCAATGGAGATAGCCATGGGCAGCGAAGATAGAAAGATACAAGATACAGATACGGATACGGCGGATACCTTTTTGTAAGCGGGATGCACAGAGGGCGACAAGTCAAAGACTCAAGACTCAAAGAATCTAGAGAGCAGCAGGTCCTTCATCGATTGCCTTTCCCCATTTACCCAAATTCCCCCCTCGACTTTTGTTAATGCTTAAGTTTTTATGATATGATTATTTTTATGTTTTTGATATGTTTATGTAATTATCGTGCGTTTTACTAGAAGAATTACTTAGCCTATGACCGTACACGTTTAGTGAACTTTATCCGTATGTATTTTCCATTATAGTTAATATTCCTACATATACAGACTACGTAGACGAACCAATATACCAATATACATTATACATACACATAGTGATCTGCCCGATCCCATATTGATCGTGCCGCAGGCGAACTATCGAACATTCAAAGCTATGCAACAAAGGCAAAATAAATTATACAAAAAAAGTCCAAAAACGTCATGTTTTTATTTCGTTCCTTTCGATTTCGTTGATGGTTGATTTTGTAAACTGCAATTTTGGTTTGTATATTATGTACATATGTTCTGCTTATGGTTTGTGTTATCACTGCTATCAGTAATGATCATTCCCCTTGGCTCGAATAGCAATAGTTATGGCCAAAGGGCTTTGTTCCGATGCCTCACATTGATAGCAGCGATTATTGCCCAATTCGCTGCGTGGCGTCTTTCTGAGATCATCATCGCAGCTTTGAGCGTTGGAAATTTGGCTGTGGTTGACCTAGCCAGGGTCGAGCTAGCTGCTGGCTTTGTTTTGTTTATATACACATTTTGGGGGTCAAATTTATTGAAAGCACAACGCCGCGATCAACACTCGAAATTGTTCCGTTGACTGCATTCCGCGCTGGCTGTGTGTTGTGTGTTGTGTTTTCGCTTTGAATGCCAAATTATTGGACCGACGCTCTCCGGCTTTTAGATGGGTCTTTGGTTTCGGCTTTGGCTTTAGCTTTAGCTTTCGGGCATGGGGATTTCAGTTTTTGGCCAATGCCGTACCCGTTCAACGACTCTTGATTTCTGGCCTTGGCTAAATGACTTGCGGCTTCCAGTGGGTCGGAATCGCATTAGCAGGCTAGATGGGTTGGATGGATTTATGTGGCGAATGCGCGCTGACTTCCTGCATTCTGGATCAAAACATATCCATGTTTTCAGGCCTTAAATGGTTTCATTTCACACTTTCATCCCTTGGCCTGCATTTATAACTTGATTTTGCCTATGATTTTTTGCCCCATATACCAATTAGGCGGGAGAGGAATTGGGGGAACGGGTACAGAATTGGGGTACACCAAGTGGGCCACTTATGATTTGCCAACTGAATAATACCTCTTACTCTATGGACCAGTCTCTCTAGCACATACACATACATATATACAACTATATAAACTTGATTTCAATGATCAATGGATCGTAGTCGCAAAGTTGGAAAACACCGCTTTCCACTTTCGTTCTTAATTTCAATGTTCCAAATGATTTAACTTCATAGAGATTATATATATATATATATATATATATATATACATATATATTGTATTGTATATATATACATATTTAGTATATACATACATGTAGAGGAGTTAAGGATACATAAGTGCTTTTTAATGGAATATATAGACCGCAACAGAGAAATTACCACTCACAATGTGAGGACAAATAAAATTGTATTGATTGACAAATTGAAATATGATCTAATTATACAGAGCCTAGATGTACGTATTTATTATGAGTTGCTTTTAGTGTGATAATTCATTAGCGATGGTCATAAGTGAACAATTTGCAAATAAATTCTAAGAAAAGCATTGCCGATTCGTTTCTCTATTTCACTTCACATATGTATAAAACTGGGATCTAATATCATAAATAGCGTTTTGAAACTTCAACATTTTTCTACCCTAAAGCTTTTTGTCGAGATTAAAAGCTGGAAAATCTCAATGCATGGGTCGACATATTTCTGTGGTCTTGATGTTCGGGATTAATAAGTACACACACGTCGTATTAGACATAATAATTTCCTTTTTGCATTTTATTAAACTCGTTTTCAAGTCGCTTTGGCCAGGAGCTTTCTGTTGGCATTCAGTAACCATATCCCTGACTGCACGGAGCTGGAGTGAAAACGCTCGAGCAGCTGAACACATAGTTCTTGGGACACGGCGGTGAGGGGAGGGAGGCTCCACCATAAGCTGGCGATGGAGCCGCTGATCCGTAGTCGCCTGCGGTCCTCGCCATACCAAGGCTCTGATGATCCATTTCGAAGCGAGCGTAACCCGATGACTTCGAGGCTGGCGCTGAATAACCGGAAGATGCAGACGAGGACGCTGGAGCTGAGTACGATGGAGCAGCAGCTGCTCCGGACGATGCAGGCGCTGAGTAACCGGAGGATGCCTTTGGTGCTGAGTATCCGGAAGAAGCCTTTGGCGCTGAATAGCCAGAAGCTGGTGCTGCAGAACCCGCTGAATACGCGCGTGCTGCTGAATATCCAGATGATGCAGGTGCCGAATACGATGGAGCGGCGGGTGCCGAATAAGATGAAGATGCAGGAGCTGAATAAGATGGAGCGGCCGGAGCTGAATAAGATGGAGCCGCAGGAGCTGAATAGGATGACGATGCAGATGATGAATATGAAGGAGAAGCAGAAGCCGAATATGAGGGAGCTGCAGGTGCGGAGTATGATGGAGCGGCTGGAGCTGAATAAGATGGAGCCTTGGGCGCTGAATAGCTTGAGGCGGGTGCTGAGTAAGAAGGTGCAGCAGGAGCCGAATATGAAGGACCAGCCGGTGCTGAATACGACGAAGCTGGAGCAGCCGGAGCAGAGTAGCTTGGGGCGACAGGAGCCGAGTACGACGACGCCTTTTGCGCTGAATACGATGGGGCAGCGGGCGCTGAGTAGCTGGGTGCAGCTGGTGCTGAATACGATGGAGCAGCAGGCGCTGAATAGCTGGAGGATGCAGGTGCTGAATACGACGGGGCTGCAGGTGCTGAGTAGCTGGAGGATGCAGGTGCTGAGTAGCTGGGAGCTGCTGGTGCTGAATACGATGGAGCAGCAGGCGCTGAATAGCTGGAGGATGCAGGTGCTGAATATGACGGGGCTGCAGGTGCTGAGTAGCTGGGTGCTGCTGGTGCTGAATACGATGGAGCAGCAGGCGCTGAATAGCTGGAGGATGCAGGTGCTGAATATGACGGGGCTGCTGGTGCTGAGTAGCTGGGTGCTGCTGGTGCTGAATACGACGGGGCTGCAGGTGCTGAGTAGCTGGAGGATGCAGGTGCTGAGTAGCTGGGTGCTGCTGGTGCTGAATACGATGGGGCAGCAGGCGCTGAATAGCTGGAGGATGCAGGTGCTGAGTAGCTGGGAGCTGCAGGCGCTGAGTATTTGGAGGATGCAGGTGCTGAGTAGCTGGGTGCTGCTGGTGCTGAATACGATGGGGCAGCAGGCGCTGAGTAGCTGGAGGATGCAGGCGCTGAATAGCTGGGTGATGCAGGCGCTGAATACGATGGCGCGGCAGGTGAATAAGCCGGAGCAGCAGGAGCGGAATATCCTTGGTCCTTCGCCGGCGAGTAGCTGGACTGGGAATTGTAAACGACCGGTGGGGCATAGGCCTGCGCCGGAATCTCCCTTGTGTGCCTCTCCTCGTAGTCGAACTCGGACTGATGGAAACCTTCGTCGAACTCCTCATTCCTGGTCGCCGGAAGCGAAAACGCGTTGGCCAAAAGGCAGCCAAAGGCCACCAAGAACAGCAGTCGTTGTCCACACATGGCTCACAGAATTAAGACTATAGTTTTTTGAAACTGGACGGGTTTTATATGGCCAAGAGAAAAACAGATCAGCGAAATTTTCGAATTCACCAAGAATATTGCGCAATTGCAGTCTGTTGGTGCTTGGTGGTAATCGGTGGGTTCACTTTGTGCTATTCTGCATTTGAAGCGATTCCATTTAAATTCGCTAGATTCGATCGTTTTCCAGTCACCTTTATTTTTAACGTGAATAGTTGAGTCGGCGATGGGAACAGTAAGCTTAAAATACTCTTTTAATACCCTATACGTTTGGAAATTGAAACCTTTTTTAATATTTTGAATTTTCTTCGCAAAGTTATAAAGGAAAGATTTGATATCTAGTTCGAGTTTTGACCATTTCTTCAGGATATTCAGCTATGGGATTACAAGAAATCTAACATTAAACTTCTAAGCTGATTTGAGAAAAGCTACTTTTGAGAAAATATATAGCTTATTTGGAATTCAATTGAACCACAACTTACTCATCGTGTCAATAATCTCAGGGAAAAGAGTATACAAAGTATAGTTTAATTATGTGTCAGCACTTTCGTTCAAAAAGTCGGTCATAGAGGGAGTGCTGAGCTATCAATATGTGGGTTGACATGCTGCCTGAAAGAACAAAATGCGGAATTGCCGACTACATATGTTATAACTTCAGGTTTGCAATGAGTAGGCCAACTCTTCCTGTTCTAAATTTAATGTAAAAGCGAGTTACGGTCATAACAGTTCAATCCATTGTTTTCCTTTGCAGTTTTGCAGTCACGAGGAATATTGCATTTCAAGGTGAACCTTTTTTAACAACGAAAAAGTCGAACATAGTTATTCTTTTAATAGCTTGACAGTAAACTATACAAGTGAAATTCAAATTATGGCGCTCACATCTGCGCGATCTGGCAACACTGCCTGCCCAAGTGACAGTCACTCGTTTATTTTATCGATTGCTATCGCCCGGCCGAATCAACACGTCAACGTTTTCTTCCTCTTCTTCGCGTGCCGCTGCTTCTTCTGCTTCATCGCGGCTACTCTGTTTTTTTACTTTACAACTCAAATCGCAGCCGACGTTGTGAATTGAATAATTAATAAATAGCTGACCGCTGAATAAAAGTCAATTGGCCAGTGCAAGTGGCAAAGGACAGCTGGAAGCGACGAACGAAACGGGACACGTAAGTGGAAAGCGGTGCATGGCTGAAAGGATGGAAGTGGAAGAATGGTCAAAGGAAAGGGGCGAGGGAGGGGCGCCGACAGCTGCTTGCGTTGCAAAAAAAGAAGTGAAAGAATCGCAAAAGAAATGTGGAAGTAAAAGGGTTATTGCTCTTTTCACCGATTTTCCGTAAAGACTTATTGAAAGCTATTACTCCCCAGTAATTTCACCGGCAAACCATAGACAACTACGAGTTAAACACGATTTCCACTGCCACATGAGCACAGCTTTTCTCGTTGAAGCCAGACTTCCCACAAATGAAGTGTTAAAACTGCTGGAAACCCAGTAACTTCTTGTGTTATTACTGCGGCCAAAAAACGTAGGTAGAAGCAGTGGGTGAATTTTGATATTACAGCTACACATACTTGAATCTGTAAAAAGTTAGCCTCTTAAGTTCAAGTCAAATTCTAGAAAGATCTCCCAATGCAGAGGGTAAATATAGAGTATTTTTTGAATTGGGTATCTAATGCTATGCACAATCCTTTAATTTGATCACGTTTTAAACGCACAGACCATGAAACTCGTGCTCCTTTTGAGCGCCCTGCTGGCGGGGATTGCCCTTTCCCAGGGAACCGCCGTGATGTCTGTGGATCTGGGCACCGAGTGGATGAAAGTGGGCATTGTGTCGCCCGGTGTGCCCATGGAAATCGCCCTGAACCGCGAGTCGAAGCGCAAAACGCCAGCGATCCTAGCCTTCCGCGATGGAACGCGAACCATTGGCGAGGATGCACAGACAATTGGAATCAAGGATCCAAACTCGGCCTATGGCTATCTTCTCGATTTGCTGGGCAAGACCATTGATAATCCCATTGTTGATTTGTATAGGTAAGTGCTATTGCTTTGGGCCACGTCACTGTTGCGTCCCATTGACTTATCTTGAAATCCGATCGCTTTCAGGAAACGCTTTCCTTACTACAACATTGTGGGTGATCCGGAGCGCAATACCGTGGTTTTCCGCAAGAGCGACACCGAGGAATTCTCCGTGGAGGAGCTGGTTGCTCAAATGCTGGTAAAGGCCAAGCAGTTTGCCGAGGAATCCGTAAATCAGCCAATCACCGAGTGTGTTTTAACCGTGCCCGGTTACTTTGGCCAAGCCGAAAGGGAGGCTCTGTTGTCGGCCGCCCAGTTGGCCAATCTGAAGGTGCTCCAACTAATCAACGATTATGCAGCAGTGGCTCTCAACTACGGTGTCTTCCATCGCGGCGAAATTAACGAAACGGCCCAGTATTTCGTCTTCTACGATATGGGCGCCTATAAAACCTCAGCCGCTGTGGTGAGCTATCAGTTGGTTAAGGATAAACAAACCAGGGAGATCAACCCGGTAGTCCAGGTCCTTGGCGTTGGCTATGATCGCACCCTGGGAGGCCTGGAGATTCAACTGCGATTGCGTGATTACCTGGCTCAGGAGTTTAATGCACTGAAAAAGACTAAAACCGATGTGACCACCAGTCCCCGAGCTCTGGCCAAGCTTTTTAAGGAAGCAGGTCGCCTAAAGAATGTCCTCTCTGCCAATACAGAGTTCTTCGCTCAAATCGAAAACCTGATAGAGGACATTGACTTCAAATTGACTGTTACTCGCGAGAAGTTGGAGCAAATCTGCGAGGATCTCTGGCCGAGGGCCACAAAACCATTGGAACAGGCTTTGGCCTCCTCGCACCTCAGTCTGGATGTGATCAACCAGGTGATCTTGTTTGGTGGCGGCACTCGAGTTCCACGTGTGCAGGAAACCATCAAAGCTGTCATTAAACAGGAGCTGGGCAAGAATCTGAATGCCGATGAATCCGCTACGATGGGTGCAGCCTATAAGGCAGCCGACTTATCTGCCGGCTTCAAAGTGAAGAAGTTTGTGGTCAAGGATGCCACGCTGTTCCCCCTGCAAGTGTCCTTTGAGCGGGATCCAGGCAATGGTGCTGACGTGAAGCAGGTGAAACGTGCCCTGTTTGCCCTGATGAACCCCTATCCCCAAAAGAAGGTGATCACCTTCAACAAGCACACCGACGACTTTGAGTTCTATGTCAACTACGCCGATTTGGATCGCTATAGCAAGGCGGAGATTGCCGCTCTGGGCAGCTTGAATGTGACCAAGGTACAGCTGAAGGAGGTAAAGGAACTGCTGAAGAAATCGAAAAAGGAAGTGGTGGATAACAAGGGCATCAAGGCCTACTTCTATCTGGATGACTCTGGCATTTTCCGCTGCACAGGCGTTGAGTATGTGTACGAGAAGCAAAAGCCTGAGGACGATGCGGATGACGACAGCACATTGTCGAAGATAGGCAGCACTTTCAGTAAATTGTTTTCCAAGGAGGGTGAGGAGAAGAAGGACGATTCGGAGCAAGAAGAGACAGACAGTGCAGGCGAGGAGCCATCTAAATCGGAAGATAATGAAAAGGCCAAGGAAGAGGAAGCCAGCAGCAAGGAGCAAAAGTCTGACGAGATCACCAAGCAAGATCCCGAAGCCAAAAACGAAACCATCAAGCTTGTTACCGTCAAGTCCCCGGTGAAGTACGAGTCGCAAACGCAGTTTGTTGTTGCTCTGGCCGGTTCTAGGTATGACCAATCGGTGGCCAAACTCGCCGCCATTAACAAGGCTGAGGAGCAACGTGTCCGCCTGGAATCAGCTTTTAATGCCCTCGAAGCCCACATAATCGAGGTGCAACAGAAACTGGACGAGGAGTCCTACGCTAAGTGTGCCACCGCCGAGGAGAAGGAGAAACTTCTGGCCGAATGCAGCACTCTGGGCGAATGGCTGTACGAGGATCTGGAGGACCCCAAGGCCGAAATCTACGAGGAAAAACTAGCGCAACTGAAGAAGCTATCCAACGTGTTTTTGGCCCGCCACTGGGAACACGAGGAGCGACCAGAGGCCATCAAAGCACTGAAGGGTATGATTGATGGCGCCGAAAAGTTCCTGGTCACTGGCCGCAATCTCACCAAGGACACCAATCCCCAGAAGGACGTCTTTACCCAGGTGGAGATCGATACGCTGGACAAAGTCATAACCGAAACCAATGCCTGGCTGAAGACGGAGACGGCGGCCCAGAAGAAGTTGGCCAAGAATGCGGATATCCGCCTGTCAGTAAAGGATATTACGGACAAAATGAGCCTGCTGGACCGCGAGGTCAAGTATTTGGTCAACAAGATCAAGATCTGGAAGCCCAAGGCGAAGCCCGCTGCCGAAAAGGATAAGAAAAAGGAGGAGGAGGAGGAGGTGGTGGCTTCCGGCAGTGGCGATGGCACCAAAACTGAGGATGCCGAGCAGCAGCAGGAACCGCCAACAAAGGAGGAGCAGCAGGAGCCCGTAGATGACATCACTCCAACGCCTACAGAGGAAGAAACCAAGACACCGCACAGTGAGCTCTAAGGAGCCAAACTAGAGGGATTTCGAGCATCCGTAGCAGCAGGAAGCCAAGTGCCTGTCTTAGGATTCGAAGGAGGATTCAAATCGGGGGTTATACAGGGGGAAAAGACGGCAAATGGTCACGACACGGATCGTCTTTATTTCTATGATTTTTTTAGCTAAAGTCGGGGTTAAATTTTGCTACTTCTAATCTAAAACAAAACACACACAAAAAAAAAACACAAAACATAATGTAAAACGTAACTAAATGTAAAAACCATTTTCCATTTCCATACCATTCCGCATAGGAAATACAAGACTTGAAGAAGTACTCACATGGTCCCCTCTATATATCCACTATATCTTATTGATCTATTGTAGCGAAAGTAGCAAAACGAATTGGGCGGGATGAGTTAATTGCCGAGATAAGATCGTAATAAATCTGAAATCGTAAGGAGCGAAAGATAACGAATAATGTTTGTATTGTGTTGTATTCGGATTGGCCTTTTGGTTCCTGGCGATGTGCGTAGTGTGAGAAGTAGGTAATCCTTTAATATCATATGAAATGCATTATAAGCAATTTTTAAATTTCCCGCCCATAAGTAGTCGCCCGTTGAGGAGGGAAACCCCGCTAGCTTTGGTAGGTGTATTCGCTAACTGCGGACTCCCTAACGATGGTTCATGTCTTCGCTGAGTGCGTATGGTGTTTGTCTAAGACTTCTAGCGATGGGTGAACGAAGATATCAACAAATCGATATCACGATACACGAAGAATCATCGGCTAATTCATCGATTACCAATGTATCGCTAACCCTGCATCACTAATTTGTTGTTGGTAAAAAAAAGGTAAAGCGGGCGGGCGTGCGTGGAACTGAATTTAATTCTCTGTGTCACAATTTTCGCAGCTGTGTGCGTGTATTATTTTGTTGTTTTTCTTTTTTTTTATTGTCTTTTTCCTGAAGAATTTTCTCCGCTGCTGTTTTGCTTACAAATACATGGGTGTTTGCGCAAGTGTGTGTGTGCGAGAAGAGTTGCTGTTTTCTGCGGCCGTTTTTCCGTGTGTCTGTGCTTCTTTTTGTGCTCCGTGTTCCGTGCAAACAAAGGATTTGTTCTTGGGGCTCCGTGCAGTTAGTTTTTCGCCTTAGTCGCTTAAATATTGATAAATGATTAACAGTGCCAGTGTGTGTGTGTGTGCGTGCGTATGTGTGTGTGTGTGTGTGTATGCAATGCTGAAAACGCAGACTTCGGTCAGTGAAAGAAGGGGAGGTGGAAAACAGGAGAAGGAGAGCAAAAGAGAGGTGGCGAGGGAAAACAGTTATGCAGCTGTGAACAGTGGAGCCTCGGCAAAAAAAAAAATTGGCTCAGTTTTTCGATTTTCGATTGCCCATATTTGATACTCTCCTCTTTGTCATGGGGTTTCTTCATCTGTCTCCATTTTTCTTTCAAATCGAGCTTTTTTTTCGGTAAAAATTTCCTTGTGGATAGCACACGAAAACAACAAACTCAGCAGAAAATGTAGGGGAATAAAGAGGGGGATAGGGGATAAACGCGAAATTTGTTTTTTTTTTTGTTTTTGCCGATTTCCAATCGGTATTTCGATGAGTTTCGATCATTGCGTAGGCAAGATACCTGCTGTGCGAGTGAGAGAGCGCTAGAGATTTGTACAAGTGTGTGTGTCAGGTTTTGTCTGCTGCTCTGTGTGCGTGTGTGTGTGTAAGCCAACTGCCGATGGTTGTTTTTGTTTTGGCTAGTCAGCATTAGAAGCAGCAACAACAATAATAATACAAAAGTTAATAACAAGCTAAGTGAAACACGTGTTTAAAACTCCAATTATAGCTTTAATGCCCAGGACAAACCAACATACAAATAAACGCAATTGAACAGAATAAGAAAACGGTAATAAGTCGGGAAAATCAAAGTGCAAATCTGAACGCCAAAAAAAGCAGAGAGTGCGAGCAAGACAGCGCATGCTGGGGCGCCGCAGGAGCTGTAGAAGAAGAAGCAGTGAGAGTGAAGTTAACTGGAAGTGGAGTGGAAAAAGAAGAGCGAAAAGAGAGCCAGCGAAAACAACAAAGAACAACCAGTCGACTCCAAAAATTCGCCCTTTCAATCTACCTCCAAACACGAGCAAAATCGTCATTTTAAGAAGCACAATAACTAAATGAATAAACAAAATATTCACATAAAGGCGGCGACAAACAACTCAACTCAAGTAAAACGGAACAGCGCCATCTGGAGTAGGCAGATAAAAGCAGCTGACAGACGTAAAGAAAAGAAAAAAACACAATAAATCCCATACCAGCTTTCTTCGCCTGGAAGTCGCAAAGGAAGAGCGCAAGAGAGGGGGGAGTTAGCTCCCTGAAACCCCACGAACCACAAAACTCCACTTGGACCACGAAATAATCATAAGCGCACCGTAAGCACGAAAAAAAAACTCAGACCAGACCAGTTGCCTTTTTTAGCCCGCCACAAGATGGCGTGCCTTAACACCCTGAAGCAGGAAATCAAAACGCTAGAGAAAATCTTCCCGAAGAACCACGAGCGCTTTCAGATCCTCAATTCCAGCGTCGACGAACTGCTCTGCCGGTTTATCGATAAGAATGGAAAGCGCTACGATATTCACGCCAACATAACGGTAAGTCCCCCCCCCCCCCCCCATGACCATTAGCTTAAGTTCAAATCTTCTTTAATTGTGTTATTTTTGGAGACTTTTATGGCTAAAAAGATGTGATGTATGTATTATATGTCCAAGTTAAACATTTAAGGTAAAGTAATTGGGACCGATGGATTTCTAACAAGTTTTCCCCGTGGAACAATTTCAAGTATAACTTTTGCAAATCGAGCCCCAAAGAAAAGTATGCGAATTTGAAACTAGAGCGAAATGTTTATATTTTCTTGTGCATCTTTCTTATCGTCTCCAGCAATCAATAGATAAGGGCATTGGAAGTGAAAAGGGGCTCCTATTAATGCGCCGTGTTTTCAAGTGGTTTGGAGCTTGGTGCTGGAGGGGATTACGGGTTCTGGTGGTGTAGAACAGCTTGCTATTTCCAACTTTCCACTTTGTCCACTACAACGATAACATTATTTATACGGCGATAGTGTAGAATTATATATAGCAAATTAGCAAGTGTTTAAAGCTTCACTTTCAGTAGATTCACTGGGATCCTTGGTTCTTTTTTTTTTTAACGTAAGTCCATCTTCATTTTTGTTCCTGCCAAAATTTTTGGTTTCTTCCTTCAAATAGTGCTATCCTTGTCTGGTTGTTGAATCTACTTCTTCAACCTTTCTTTATCGGTTCGCCCTCTCCCTCTTTCCCGCTTGTGCGTGATTATATATGTGAGGATTTATTTGTGCCGATTCTTTATTCCCACGCTGCTCAGTTAAGATGGGATAAATGTATGCACGTACATATATTTATGTTATATGTATGTATGTAGTCGAGGTAGTCGATGCCCTTTGGCCGCTCTCTTAGGCTCCCTCTCTTTCTACTCTTTTGGTTCTGACCAACATAGACTGATTTTGAAGATTTCCGTTATGGTATAAACATCATGTACATTTGTCTGTATGTCGCTGCTAAACATTTAGTGGTATCTGCTTAAATTGTCAAAAGCAATCACACCTCGAATTATAGAAACGCGTGCTCCTGCACTTTGCAGTAACAGAGTAACACCCTCGATGAGGTGTGAGGTTGATTCATCGGCTGCCAAGCTGTCGCATCTGTTTTCTGTCTTCTGTGCACTGATCCCCGCTTGGTTCAATGATCTAATTAAAGGTTATAATTTCGTACTTTCTGGCGCGTTCGCATCTCCTTCGTTTAGTATTTGTTTATTTACATGTGCATGCAAAGTGGCTTCGACAACGACGAGCAATTCACCTGAGAACCGAAAGAAACGAGATCGAGACTCAAATGGAATGAAAATGGGTATGGCAATGGGAATAGGAGAGATCTTTTGTCTGTGTCCAATTGTCGAGTCAACGTCCTTGACCCACCCCACACACGCGATCGGCTCGGCCCACCCCTTTGGGTAGAAGTACAGTGGATTCCCGATAAGACATATGCCAAGGCAAACATTTAACCGATCCCACTGTTAATGGAGAGCCATTGAAATTTGCTAAAACGTATATTGCATAGGAATTTCAAAAGGAAAAATAGCTTATTTTAAAAGTGACCCGATCTGGCTACATATTCTTCAAACTAGTTTCACTGTCAAACTCGTTTGATATCAAGTTTGTTTAATAAAAAGACGTGTATAAATATTGATAATATGATAATGCTATATCTCTGGCTCTCTCCTGCAGGAAACCTATCCCTCATCGCCGCCAGTTTGGTTCGCCGAGAGCGAGGAGACGAGCGTCACAAATGCTGTTCAAATACTTAGCAACACGAATGGACGTGATAATCACGTTATTAATCAGGTGAGTCCTTATAGCATACATATATCGAAATTTATTGGCTGTAAACTGACAATCCCATCCAAATCCTTGCAGGTGGGCATACTGCTGCGTGAGCTGTGTCGCCTTCATAGCGTTCCACTGCCACCCGACATCGATAACTTGGCTCTGCCGCTGCAAACGCCGCCGCCATCCGCTTCCCCCCTTCGCTGCGAGCAGAGACCAGGTGGTGGTGGAGCGGGGGGTGGGGGCGGACCCCACGGCAACGAGGAGACCGATTCGGATCAGGAGGAGATCGAGGATCCGATTGGCGAGAGTGAACAGGAGAGCGAGGGCGATGAGGACTTGCCGCTGGAAATGGATGATGTACGAAGTACAAACAAGGTGAGCTAAATTTGTAGAATTCCTAGGGATTAGGAGCTTCGAAGGGAGTTCGGCACTAGTGCCATATGCAGGCCTAAAGATTACTTTTGCATAAGTAAAGTACTTATAATCATGCAATTCAATTTTAGTTATTACGGGGAATTGTGTTTAAAGTAGTTTTGAGTTGATTTAAGAATTAGGTGGTAGTTTTTTATATATCATTTCTGGTCCACTCGTTTAATATTAATGCTGTTTATTCTTAATAATTTTGATATCTGTGAAACGCAGAAGGACGACATGGAAGTGGAACACCTAGCGACTCTAGAAAGACTGCGTCAAAGTCAGAGACAAGACTATCTAAAAGTGAGTTACCCGATACTTCGCAATGAAGGCTATATCTAATATTTTATTCGACATTAGGGTTCAGTTTCGGGTTCCGTACAGGCAACCGATCGCCTAATGAAGGAACTACGCGACATTTATCGATCGGATGCCTTCAAGAAGAACATGTATTCTATTGAACTCGTCAATGAGTCGATTTACGAATGGAACATTCGCCTCAAGTCTGTCGACCCCGACAGTCCGCTGCACAGTGATCTGCAAATGCTCAAGGAGAAGGAGGGCAAGGATAGCATACTGCTCAATATCCTCTTCAAGGAGACATATCCTTTCGAGCCGCCATTTGTGCGCGTCGTCCATCCGATTATCTCAGGTGGGTTTGGCTAAGTAATAGTATATCATGGACGTTTATTTCAATGTGTCTTGTCTTCAAAAGGCGGCTATGTGCTCATCGGTGGTGCCATCTGCATGGAATTGCTGACCAAACAGGGCTGGAGCTCGGCCTATACCGTGGAAGCGGTTATCATGCAAATTGCAGCCACCCTTGTCAAGGGAAAGGCGCGCATCCAGTTCGGGGCTACCAAAGTATGTTCAATTCATAGTATTCAAGTCGATTAAATGTAATCCTGTAAACTGATACACTAATTTATACCCATCTTCTATAAACAGGCACTGACCCAGGGCCAATACAGCTTGGCTCGAGCCCAGCAGAGCTTCAAATCTCTAGTGCAGATTCACGAAAAGAATGGTAAGCCCAGAAATGCGTTGTAAGGTTTCCAACCATTGACAAGGAAACTCTTTATTGCAGGATGGTTCACCCCGCCCAAGGAAGATGGCTAAAACATAACACAGGAAAAGTCCCCGACGCACATCCTTTCTAGAATAACGCATGCCAACCAACACCAACCAACAACACCCACCATACTCACCTCACACCGCCAGCACAGACCCTGCCCACATCCTGCCCACATCCGCCAAGCACACAACCCACACACTTACTGTCGGCTTGATCTGATGTTTGATTTGGTCAGGACCAATATGGACAAAGCCCCTGAATTTAAGGAGATGGCCCACATTACTACCTTGCTTGCAGCGTTGATGGAAGTCCGAAGAAAGCACACACACATCATGCATCTACATATGTTTGATTGCTCCTAAAAACATTAAATCGTCTTTAGAGGCACGGTTACTGATTTGTTGCATTCATATGTATATGCCACACTCGACTTCTCTGCAGTGTGTAGTGGCCTGAAATCGTGTATCCTGTACAGAGTCTTGGAAACCGGAGCTGCATATATATTGGTGTAAAAGTGTCAAAGAAATCAGCAGCCGAAGAGTGTAAAATGTAAAGGCAATATCTGTTATGTATATGAGTATCATTTTTAATTTAAAGTGTAAGTGTAGTAGCTTTGAACCTTGCAAACAAAAATCACCCACCCAACCAGCACCCACAATCCTCACACACTCCACACAGACACACACATACAAACCCCTAAAATGTAAACTAGTTAAGACGCCTAACTGTATTCTTATTTAAGTTTAACAAATCCGTGGTATCTTATATTTTCCCTTTAGCTGGTAAGCTAACAACACAAGAAACGGCATGTTGGCCTAAGTTGACGCAATGTCGATCGGAATAGATATATATATATACATATATATACCTATACATACACATAATTATACATAAATATAAAGATATATATTAAAATTAGCGCGAGAGTTTAGCTTAAGCAGAATAATACAGAACGATGCGTCGAAGATGAGCAAATTCTAAGTGTAAATTCGTCTTTCCAAATAATCGTAAAAAACCGTAAATCTAAATCTAAAAATGAATAACAAATAAAAACCCAAATCGAGTAGTTGGAGAACGAACACCGTAAATATTTGCAAATAAATTACCCATTATATTAAAAAAAGAAAAGTTAGTTCGAGGGCAACTGTTTTGCTGCCCCATTACCATTGTTTTTTTTTTTTATTATGCGTACAACGGCAGACAAAATTTCATTGTACATTTCAAAACTGAAATTGGCATGCACGACGAAACGTTCATTTTAAGTATGTATTTAATAAAGAAGGATATATACATGCATAACACTGATTGAAACTACTTTATTGGAGTCGGCCTCTTTTGCAGGATTTCAATGATGAGTATGCCCAAGAAATCATATTCTGTTTCGTTTTGTTTAAATATGTATTTCTTAAACTATAAACAAAATTCCAGTATTCTAATTTTTACTTTAGTCTAAAACTATCTGGCTATATCGTTGTTCTACGTAGGTCTGTGTCACTCCACGAAGACCACGTACTTTTCCGCCGCCTGGGAGGGCTGCATGCTTGGTGTCTTAGTCTCAACATATGTGGGCTTATGGGCTACTTCGCCATTGTCCATTGAAATCCCAATGAGCATATCCATGGCACCCTTTAGCCGCATCAGATCGGTGGTTAGCCTCACTTCCTCCTGCATAACATGTGACAATCGTTCCAAGGATCGCATCAGCTTCGGGCTGTAGGCCACCAATCGCCGCTCGAAGACGTCCAAGACCGTGCTGGCGGCCATCATCAGCGGGCGCATGAATCGCGTCTCCCCCATGTGGTTGCAAATAAAGTCGATGAATCGAACAAGCATTGTGTCCCGACGATCAGTGAGGGCTTTGTCCAGAGATTTACGGTGCAGAAGGTCGGTAATGACAGCCACAACGAGCTCCGGCTGCTTTGCCATCTTCTGCGCATTCATCACGTCGTCCAAAGCCTTCTTGTGGTTGAACACGCGCAGGTGTACATCGTAGGATTTCAATCCGGGCCCCTTGATTCGATCCTTGATAGTGTGATCAACCTCCTGGGTGTGGTTCGGGCGTACTGCATCCTTGAAGTGCCTGCGTGTCCGCTCCGCACGAATCCTTTTCAAATGACTGGGCTTGCTGTCTACCATCATGCGACGAATGGAGACTAGACCATCGACCATTCCAGCAACAACGGCCTGATCTCCGCCAGCAACAGCCATGCTGACCACGGCATTGGGATAGGTCAACGTGTGCATTGTTTTGTAGGTGCTCACATCGTAGATTTTGACATGCCGATCGAGCCCGCCTGAGAGCAATCTCCTGCCATCGGATCCCAGGCGCAGACAAGTTACTGTTTTGTGATGCTGTGACATCATGGTAAGCAAACGGCAGCCGCTGATGAGATCCCATACGCGTACCTGGCTGCCACCGGCGCTAACGAAAATTGAACCGTTGGGAAGGAACAACATGGACTCAACCGGAGCTCCGTGATCCAAGGTGCGTTGCACCGCCGTTTCCGCTCGCGTATCATACAGATTGATTTTGCCATCGTAACCTCCGGAGACGAACATGTGCGGTGCCTGCGGATGCATGGCGCCAGCACGAATGTAGTCGGTGTGCGTGTCCCCGTAGGTTTGTACCACCTTCTCGTTGGCCACATCCCATAGTCGGACCGACTTGTCGTCTCCAAAACTGGCTAACTGCAGCTTGTCCGCCGTAAAGAAAGTGCGATGCACCGGTGCCGTGTGTCCCTTGAACAAACGCAAGATGTTGCGGCTAGTGGTATCGAATAGCTTGACGTGGCCCTCCTCGTCGCCGGCGGCCAGGAGTCGACCATCCTGTCGGAAGGTGGCTCCGTATGCGGTCTTTTGGAATCGGGAAAGATTCTTCACCACGAGCTTGGTCATCAGGTTGTAGATCTGCACGCGCACCGAACATGTCACCACAAAGTTGTCGGGATGGCTGGGGCTGAAGTCCAGATAATCGATTGTGTTGTGCTCCTGGAGAAGTTCCGGTTTCTGTGGATTGACGAGAGAAACAATGAGCTGGTTGACGAGTTTCTGTGCCGCATCTCATACTACTCACCGCCAATCGGTCCCAGTACACCGTATCCGGCGTTTCCACCTGAGCCAGCTGCTGAAAACGCCGTATGTTCAGTGGGATGAAGGTGCTCTGCATCCTGGCTACTTGTTTCTAGTGATTCCTTCTTTACGCGCGCACGTGCTCCACCAAAAAAGTGTGACCAGTGGACGGCAGCAGTGCTGCCGGACAAGATGGTTTCCAGCCAAATTTGAGTGCCCTCAAATACGGCGGTATCATTAAATTCAATAAATTTGCTATAATATCTTAATAATTCTGCTATCAACTTTTAATGAAATACATAATAATAAGAGTGTTTTTCTTGTAAAGTTACACTGAATGTAGGAAAAAACATTTACAAATTTATAAAGTCCCAGTTGATGTCTGCTTTTGATAGCCATTTTCCCGATAGTTGGTTCCAACTTGGTTAGTCAGTTATCGATAGACGTGGCAGGTGCTTTTGTTATCGGTCACACCAAACACATGTTTGCAAACAAACATATGCTCACCGTCGCCAAAAAAAGGAAAAACATTTCCGAGTTTGCGGACCGATCCGCTGGAGAACCGCGCTTTGGGGCGAACCAGATTGACAGCCCCTCGCACTGGGCATTGAAATAGTAATAATAATAATAATAGAGGCTAGATCTCGTGTCCAGTCCCCGGCTTAATTAAAAATTTATTTGTTGTGATGCGGCCGCCACTGGGGGTTCCATAGTCGCGTAGACAGGGTTCCAGCCTCCGCCGTCACCTCCTCTTCCTTCCCTTTCCAAATCTTAATTAACCGGAGACATTGAGCATGCTAATATTAATTGGAGGCAATCAATGTGCCTGAGACCCTCGAATCGAACGGAACGGAAGCGAGATCCCCGAGGAAGCAGTAACCACATCCACATCGAAATTCCACGTTCGCAATATACTCAAATTCGATGGAGGAGGAACGCAACGAGAAAATGGTGCTCTGCGAGAAGATCATCAGGGACATCAATGCGGTGTTCCTCAAGGATCAGGATCTGTGAGTCGACCATTGAGTTCTATTAGAAATTTGATCAGAATGGCTAGAAATGATAGCAATCTTTAATCTGCGAATATTGTTGTAATCTTGTTGTAATCCCCGCCAGCGCCTCCTTTGAAATTATACCTAAGGAAGCCAACTGCAACAAATCGCCGGTTGTGCATGTGGAGCACAATCTGGGCCTGGAATCGTGGTGTGCCCAGCATGTCTACGACCACGCCCACCGCACCCTCATCTCCCACCGCCGTCAAACCACGGCGCAACAGCTGCGGACGCTGCAGCAGCAGCAGCAGAGCGACTCCCTGGCCAAATACCTAAACGTGGCTCTGCTGATCAATCCCGATGTGACCACCTTCTGGCACATTCGCCGCCAGTTGGTGCAAAAGAATCGGCTGAGCATCAACAAGGAGCTGCAGTTCTCCGCACTCGTGCTCTCCATCAAACCGAAGTCCAATGAAGCATTCGCCTACCGCCGTTGGTTGTACTCATTTCAAAGTAAGTGGACGTCGACAACCGAAGATTACATACATATGTGAGGTACTAAACAATAACATTTCATCCCATTATTTCCAGGTGCCGATGCTATTGACTGGCCCAATGAGATCGGGATATGCGAAAGGGCCGCCGATAGGTGCGCCAGCAACTACCACGCCTGGTCGCACCGCCAGTGGATCCTCCAAAACGGCCCCTGTCTGCTGCAGTCGGAACTCCTACGCACGGAGAAGTTTATGCGCAAGCACATCAGTGACTACAGCTGCTACCACTACCGCCAAGTGCTCCTGAGTCGTGCTTATGAGCTCAACTTTGCCCTTCCCAACGATTCCGGAGCCAGTGGCTCATCTCCATTCGCCAGTCTGCAGCAACTACTGGCCAGCTATGGCCTGGAATGTGAGGCTAACGCCGAGGAACTCCAGCAGTTCTTGCTGCCACATGTGGACCTGAGTTCCGTGAGCAACCAAAAGCTAAAATCATTTCTTTACTGCTGCAACGTGGCCGCCAACGATATGCGGCTGTGTGTCGAGCAGCGGTTGATGTACGGATCGCGGGACTGCTTCGAGCTGCATCGCCGAGCGGCCCTCAAGTTCATCGTGGAGCAGTGCGTTCGCCTGCAAATGGGCTTGCCCTATGGCTCACTGTTGCCAGCTGCGTCAGGCGATCTGCGTCCGCACTTGAGCAACTTCGACTTCGAGAAGCATCCGTTTCTAAGTGCCGTGCGGCGCAAAGAGTCCGCCCTGGGCGGCAAGCACCGGCGCTGGTGTAATCTTCACCTCAGCTTTGCATATCCAGCGGATTAGACAGCGCGACCTGAAAAAGCTCAAATCAATCTACCCCAATAGAATTACTCACTCCCGGCCTTTTCGTTTACCATCCGTTTTGAATTGTGGCAAGTGTATAAATACGTTGCAAAGTATTTGATATATTTCCTACCTGATTATCGCCCTCAAAAAACAGAATGTTTTGAAAAATACTTGATACGAAGACGATTCTAAACGGACTTGCAAACGGAAATGGTTCCAATCTATATATTATAAATGTGCGACCCAAAGACAAAGTTCAACTAGCCCGACATGACAACGGATCTCACTGGTCCGCCAATTGCATTTCGATATCTATTAGCGTTAACTGTTCGTTTCTGTTCTCAGTCTGAACGGGCATGATTTGTTAGCCCTTTGTTCGGAAGTACAACTTAACCGATTATCGCCATGCCATGCACGTGTTTGTTGTTAGCCAATTGCAGTTAGTTTTTAAATAAATCCAACTCATAGATGACAAACGTTCAAATGTGTTTCAGAATCGCTTAATGCCTAAAGTTGTGAATGCTGAAGCACACGCTTTTGCATTTTATGCATTTTTGAGCATCGAGCAGTTCCTCGTTCAGTTTGAGGATATCGATTTGGTAATGGCCGTAATGGCCGTAATGAGCACTCAAAATGCATTGTATAGGGGTTTCTTTTGCGCAGAGCAGATGTTATATGGGATGGTATCGTTTTGTTGCGATGCAGCCACAGTCACAGCCACAGCCAACCACTCACCACATGAGCTGGGGATTGTGGGGTGCCGAGTGCGCATGTCTGGGATGCGAGAATGGGTGGGAAGTGCGAGATGCTGCCGAAGGCCCGAGATGACAACAATTTCAGCAGCGGACTCAGAATCGCCAGTCCGTAATCCCTTCCAGCTTTTCAGTGTGTTTCTGGAGCAGATCGCGTGCGGCGGTGTTTTGTGCAGTGTTGAGTGGCGAAAGTGCTGGCTTCTTTGAAGGCTTACAAACAATTTTGTCCCGACTCGACGAACAGAAAAACGTGCATACCAGCCAACCGAGAATTTAAAAGTAATCGACAAAGTATATATTGTTGTTTTTCATTGTTTGCTGATATATGGTTTTTTTCTGTTTGTGGATATACACGCCAAAAGGATTTCAAGAGAGTATTGCATCGAGAGTGTGTGTCCTTTTCTGTGACCGTCTTTGTTTGGTTTTAAAATATTCATATTTGCTTGCCATCCGCCCTTTTTGCATTTTTTATAACTCCCACCCACATTTGCCGCCCCCAAGGGGCGTGGGCCAAAAACTGCGCCTCAATCGCAGTTTACTTCTTGGGTGTGTGGTGTTCGGTGCTCGGGGTGGTGGGGGCTAGTTTATGATGTTTATGAGTTGATTATGGGCTGCAAAGTGCTGTGCTATTGCCTTCGGAACCCGTTCCCCCCGGACATCTCGACCTGTCCCGTGCCGTCCCGTCCTGGAAATATACATACCTCGGAATACCTGACCCTGGGGCGCTTCGGCTGCACATGTGTAGATAACTCAAAATGGACACACCTGATGATTTTGTGCCAGTGGGGTGTGTGTGCGAAGTTCCTGCGGCCAAGGGAGCTACACTCGCGGCTGCACTAATAGCAGCGACTACTAGGCATTGGCGGAGTTGCCACTTCCCTTGCGCTTCAATCAGATTTGGAGCAAGAAGCTAGCTTAAAAACGTCTTATTCCTACTCCCGATTCTTTGCCGAAACGTTTCCTTGTTCCAAGTCCTCTTCTTGCGACCGCGAGTGCCGTGAATTTGCCAGAATGTAGTGAGTGAGTAACGGCAACGGCAACGGCAACGGCAACGGAACGTACATGTGCGCATACATATGTACGTAGGCCCATGGCCCACATTAGTATGCAGTGCACGTACGGCCAGGCGGATGTGTGTGGGCGTGAGTGTGTGTGTGTGCGTCGGTTACCGTTTCCATGTGCAGGTGACAACTCGATAAGCAGCCGATAGATGGCGCTACCATGCGAGGCCCCACAACTTTTTCATTTCCTCTTTCCACTTCGCAGGCATTCCGCTGCATCAGAACTATATTTGCACTTTGATTTGGGGGCGTGGCAGGTGGACGGCGGACAATGAACCCGCCCACGCAGCAAGGACAATAATTGCAGACTGGATTGGAATGGGATGCACAGTGGAGGAGCAGCATGAGTTCGCCTTTTTGGAGCGATGGCAGTACTGGTATCGCAGCGGCCCCACAATCCACATAATTCGCATTACGGGCGCTAAGTTTCGATAAGTTGGCAATAATCGCCGGAAATGGGCAGTCTGCCGAATCTTCACGAGCTGGAGGAGGCGGAGCGCAAGCGGGAGAAGCGACGGGAGTACGAACTTCTGCTGGAGCAGCGGGCCCGTGACACCAGTCGCGAGCGGGAGCGACTCTCCGCGTTTGCTCAGCAGCGCAAGGTGAGATCGGCTTAGTTGAGCCCACTTCCTGCCCACTTTATATTTATGTTTCTACTCCACTCAGCAATCGTCGTATAATGCTTACATTATGGCTAGTCTGGGCATTGGTGGCGGATCCTTGAGCCTCAATGCCACCGGAGGCACTGCAACAGGCAATGGAGATCTGCCCGGTGGCAATGGCACAACTGCGGGAAAGGGCCTGATCCAGGCGGTGGGCACCGCATCTGGATTGGCCACCAGTTCGGGTGCTCCGGTGGCCACCAGTGGCTTTGCGATGCTGGGACTGGCCAAGAAGTATGCCCCACAGTCACACCACCATCAGCATCAGCACCAGCACCAGCATCATCAGCACCGCCATTCGCTGACCACGAGGCATAGAGTGATGCGTACCCGCAGTTCTGGAGGAGCCCAGAACGTCTGGGAAGAGCAGATGATGGAGGTGAGTGCTCAGGTGAACTCATAAAATGTCCGACCCCGTGTGAAAAGCCTTTATATACTTCATGTCACTTGCTTTCCGGCACGGTGACACCTGTCGCATATAAATAGAATCAGAGAGCTTAGCTCTTTGTCCTGGACTCTCAACTATCAGTGGTCATTGGTGAATAGTGGACAATGGGTGTTCGGACCCGGATTGTCTTTCCCAGTTGCACAACAACTGGCTGGTGTTGTTCCATCCCTGGGAACCGACTACTCCCCCTTTGTTTGTGGTCGTTTTAAGATCGCTGGCCGCAACAGCAATAGCCTGCCCAGGTCCTAGGATTCCTGCTATATTCTAATACCATTTGTTTGCATCCCTTCCAGCAGCACATCACCGCATACTCGCCGTCGCCCATTTCGACTCGTTCGCATCGAATAAATCCGGTGTCCTCGTACCAGGTGCAGGCTGCTCTGGCGGCCTCGCGTCGCCGGGAGTCCATAAACAGCTCCATTGGAGCCACCTCCATCCGACGATTGATAACGCTGAACAACAGGAATTGCCGGCACAAGGTGCCAGGCCATGTGCGCCAAAAAGTGTGGCGCCAATTCAGCTGCTTAAGTCTGGCCCACGGACTGACGAACTGCGTTCTGCTGCCGGTGATGGCGCTCCAGGGCTCGAATGCAGTGTGGCACCACCGGGAGGAATGGTTGCCCCTCGGCCCGGAGATTGGATCCCTTCTGCTGAGTGCTCTCTTCCTGGTGGCCGCTGGGATGAGCCTGCCCAGCATTCGACTGATGAAACGATATGGTTATGGGCCACTGATAGTGGCGAACTATATGACAGTGCTTCTATTCCTCCTGTCGCACCTGTACGCCTCCATTTACACCCTTCTACCCGCCTACTTGCTGCTGGGCGTGACCTTGAGCGGATCCGCTGGCTCCAAAGCGGCCTTGATTGTCCACTTTGGAGGGAAATTGAGCTGCTCCTGCGAGTCACAGCAGTCGCAGGCGGCGGTCGATGTCTTGCACGAGGAGCACAAAATGTTTTGCAATCGGGAACAGAAGGTGAGACGTCTGGCCAGGTGGTTCAGGGTTTCCCAAGACCTGGGACTAATCGGAGGAGCCCTTCTGGCCTCCATTTTGCTGGCCTGCAGCGATGGAAACTTTACGGGAGATTGCTCCGGACTGGTTTACTATGGAAACGAGAGCTGGCCACCCCAACTGAGGGATTTCTACAATAGGAACGAGCACGGCGACAGGATCTGTGGGGCAGACATGTGTCCCCTGAGAGGGCAATCCATTCTGGCGGCGGGTTGGGCCAATGGCAGCTCCATACCCAGTTCCATCTATGCGGGCTTCATCGAAAGTGAGCCCCGTGTGGCCGGGCAATCCCTGCTCTGGTTGTACGTTCTGTTCTCGATGATATCATTGACCCTCTCGCTGCTGGTAGTGGTGGACAAGGTGTATGCCGCAGGCTCATCGCGACCGGAGCGTTCAAGAGATGTGAGCATCACGGATACCCTGCTCTTTGCCGGTCCCCTGGCCTATTTTGTGGGCACGGAACAGGCCTATATGATGGGTGACTTTCTGAGGGCCTTCGTCACCTGCTCGTTGGGGATCGGAATGATTGCCGGCGCCTTGATTGGCATGGGTCTGATGCAGCTCATCGTCTCCTGTACCTTGAGCATGCTGCTCAGGCACGTCAAGCGGATCGTCGTGATTTGTGAGTAGCAAATGGGCACAGGGTACTGGAAGTTACAATGCTCTTCTCTTTGCAGTGGCTGGTTTCTTCTTCCACTCCTGTCTGCTGCTGGCTCTGTCCAGTTGGAAGCCCTCGAGTGACGACAGTGCCCTGTTCTATGTGATTGCCGCCTCGTGGGGTGCCTGTAATGGGATGTGGGAGACGCTCCTGCTCTCGCTGGTCACCCTCAACCATGCCAGTCATGTAACGGAGGTCCAGGCGCCTCTGCTGGCCCTTCGGTTCCTGGGACTAGGACTGACCTTCGCCGGTCACGGCTTCCTCTGCGAATCGATGAAGATCATTGCCCTGGTGGTGCTGCTCGTCATCAGTGTGCCACCGTATGCTACGCTGGAAATCCGACTGGAGGCGCAACGCAAGGCGACGCTCGTCAGCTTATGACGCAGCATCTTCAGCTAGTCCCGACGAATGCGACGGGAAGTCGTGGTTCGGACGCACACCATGTGACATGTTCCGGATACGGATACGGATCCGGATCCTGGTCGGCGGCCAGATCTCCTCGAATCGCAGCCCGTCATGGAACGTATGGAACGAGAGACACAAGTCAAGCGACGCAAGTTACACTTCGAGCTCAGTGGACAGAAGTCGGTCGATTCGGAAAGGGATACGGTTTAAAACAGCTTTATCTGATATACAACAAATAGCCACATGGGGGCAAAGCTGGCTACTGACCTCTGTCCGCGGGCCTAGAGGATAAGACTAGTTAATAGGTTTGATCTACACCCATGTGGGGTTCCCTTCGAAGTGGGTGCATTCTCAATTTATAGCATTTGCCAGTGCCAGTAATGTTGTTCCATGTCTATAACCTATCTATCAAATAGAAATAGAGATAGAGACAGATAGAGAGGGAGATATACATAGAGAGAGAGAGAGAGTGAGAGAAAGAGAGAGAGAGAGAGAGAGAGGAAGAGAGAAGGAGAAGAGGGGAGAAGAGCTTTATGAGCCACAATAAGCATCTAGCATGTAGAACGTTACATATGTATGTACCAGTATATCCGATCTGAGGTGATACGATATCAATTGCGTATCTGCATACATGTATGTATTTCGCCAAGGGCTCCTCTGCCAAAAGGTTTTTTTTTGTGTGTATTTCCTAATGTAAACTCCTAGGCGTAGGTGTATTCAATTGGAACTCCAGTTTGCAGTTTCCAAACCGAAGCGATCCGTTCCGATCCGGTCCAGAGTTAATGTATGTTATGTATGTGTTGTCGGTGTAATGTGCGTTATATAGGTTTCGAGACCCTCCACTTTTGTCAACCATAGGTGCATCCCGATTCAGATCCAGATCCAAATCCAGATTCAGATAAAGCTAGCTGCAAACTGTTATGATAACCAGGTGAAATCCTAAGGTCTAAGGTCTAAGGTCTAAAGCAACAATGTTAACATTTTAAAAATTTTGAGAGTAACCATTTTGCGACCGCTGACGATTTCATACATCGGGCTAAGTATTACATGTATGTTGCTAGCCACATACTACGAGTATATATACATATACATATACAAATACCAATAGGCATAGACATACTATATATTTTTTCTTAGCGCTGGTTCCATCTGAATACTGGAATACTGAACAAAGCAGGTCGCAAACGAATTAAGCCGGTGGGACGGGCAGCCAAATACGATAAGATCGAGTTCTACGTGTATTGGATGTGTGTTGTATATTGTAGGTGTCCATATCCAGATCCAATAAAGATTTCAAAAACAAGTGTATTGCTGCTTCGGCTTACTTTCCACTGGAGCAATTAAAACCGCCCCGTCTGCGCTTAATTGCAAACAACTGGACTCATCTATGCGGCTCGCTGGAGCTTTGCATTGGAGCTTTCTCTGGCCGATCCGCTCCGATCCGATCCGATCGCTGAAAGCTAATGATCGCGTCGGAATAGTGGTCATATATCATTTTGAGCGCATCTGTGTGTGTGTGTGTGTGTGTGTGTGTGTGTGCGGGCTTGTTAGCTTTATCAATTGGGGTACGGGGTACTTAGCTAAGTTACTTGCTTAGTTAGTGGCTTTCTGCGGCCTCCGAGAGACGCGTTCGCCAGCCCCAATGGATAAAGATACAGGGGATAAGGAATCCCCCCCCGCCCCTGAGACTGCCTCCTCGAATGTCGCGGAGTGGAGCGACAAGCTGGCGGATCTGGTCGTCTGGTTCGAGGCCAATCCCGAACTGCCCGAGAAGATCGGTAAGTGAGTCAGTGGAATCGAATCCAAATACGTTTCGCTCCGATTGATAACCAGTCAAGTGGCAGACGGAATTAATGGGCGCGCAATCGCCTGTTGTGGTAACGATCCATTAACCTTGTAACCAAGCGGTGCCAAAGGTCAAGTGCACTAGCCACCTCCAGTGATATGAATGCAGCTCCTCCTTGCAGAAGTTGGCCTGACATGCACTCAGCTGGTGTTATATGCACACAGATCCATTGATAGTTATGAGTTGTATCTTTATGTCGCCAGAAGGTATCTTTTATAGTAGCTTATAGTTCCCCCAAAATCCCTACATAAATTATTACGAGCCCTACTAATTCTTCGCTATAGAACCCATAGTTATGCTACGATTTCTCAAGTGCACGGGTTTTGATGTGGAGAGCACCAAGTCACTGGTGGAGCTCAATTACAGTATGCGCAATAAGAACCCACATCTGTTTATGGATCGCAACATAGAGGACGAGATGACTGCCAAGGGTCTGAGGGTTTCGTAAGTGCCGTAAGGTAAAAGATTTAATGAAGGAGTAATCACCGTATTCCCCGTAACAGGGACCTTTTGGTATTACCCGGAGTTACTCCCCAGGGAAATAAGCTGATCTTCTTCCGCATGGCCGATCTGGATCCACGAACGGTGGGTCTTGAATAGGATGGACATGCACCCGATTGATCTATTAATCCTCAATTGTACTGTTTCTGCAGCGCAATTCTGTTGAGGAGACCAAAATCTTCGTCATGATGAGTGATGCGCGATTCAGGAAGCCGGATGTGGAGCGAGGAACTGGAAGCGGAGCAGATTACGTACTTGACGAAGCGGACATTGCCGTGGGCGATGTTCAGATTGTGGACATAGGCGGCTACACCCTACGTCACCTGGCCCACGTCTCCATTTTCGTGCTGCGTGTCTACATGAAGTTCCTGCAGGAGGCCTATCCCTCGCGCCTCCAGGCCATGCATGTTATAAACTGCCCCACCTACCTGGACAAGCTCATCTCCATGATGTCGCCCTTCATACGGGAGGAAGTCCGCAATATGGTAGCCACTGCCGAAGTGTACTTAATTTCAAGCACTTGCTAAGCAAATCCCCTTGCAGATCAAGTACCACACAGAGGGTCTGGATAGCCTCTACAAGGAAGTGCCGCGGGACATGTTGCCGGATGAGTATGGCGGCAAGGCGGGCTCTGTAGCGGAACTCAAGGCCAGGGGCATCCAGTCCATCAGGGACAACGCGTGAGTATGCCTTCAAATGGGGCCGTCCATGTATGACACCCAACTTGTACTTCATAGGGCTTACCTGAGCGACGAGCGGTACTGGAAGGTGGCCGCTCAGAGCAAGAGTCGATGGTCCTGGTTCTGATATGCCGATCATGCAACGTGATTTATATGTATATTGAAATGTGATCAAGCAGCGCGTCTTGCCAAAGCGATGATATCGATTAGTTGGGAAAGTCCCAGTAACACGTGCAGGTTCTAGAGCTCAGCGAAGCTGACCCTCCATTACGAATTCTTATTTTCATATTTTATTATTTTCTTACCCACTTCTCTATTATCACATAAGGGGCTATTGTCGATTGATTGACAACAATGGCAAGAATGTACAAAGACAAAGCAATAAATTATTTTAATTAGATTTGATGAGGTTTTATTACACCCAAAAGCTAGGTGGTTCTCAATGCTCTTCTATGATTACGAAGAACATACGTTTTTAGATATATTGCCTATCCAGTGAATAGAAACCTTTAATTTCGGCTTCAATTAAAGCAAAAATTGTGCCACTACTAACGATGGCATTGGGATGCGGCACACGACCAGGTGATTAGGCAGATCCAGAAGCTGGGACGGAACATATTTAGGCACTATTAAGCGTCGTCCAAACGATGGCCGAAAAGCCATTATAAAATTACGTGGTTTTAATCGCCAACGCAGTAGCATTGAATATTCAAAAACTAAATCGATGAGCGAAATCGATTCGCAACTGTCAGTCAGTCGTCTGCCAGGCTTCAAGCCCAACGGTTCAATAACGATTCGAAAGAGTTTTTTGAAAGTGATTCGAAAGCGATTGCTGCGTCCGATAGCCGATAGGAGGCAAGGCCGGCCAAGAAAACAGCGACGGAGCAATCGATAGCCCGGCACCAAAGAACCAATGAGCCGCATAGATGGAAGAGAGACGGGGGCGAGCGGTACGTCGGAGCAGCTGCAGCGGGAACAGGACGGCGGCACATCGGAACAGGTGCAGCGGAAACAGGAACGGGATCTCAAGGAGCTCCTCGAGTGGTTCCGGCACAATGACAAGCTGCCCAAGGAGATTGGTAAGCGATGTGCCCGTAGACCGTGCGGGTCTAACATCCGTTCACTGCCCATCCAAAACCATCAGCCACCTTCCACTTCCCACCACCAACCGACCACCAGCCACCACACACCTCACACCTCACATTAATGAGGTCGTTAGTAGGCCGCTCCACTCGCCGCCTTACGTCACTGTAGTGAATTGTATATGTCGGAGTATAAAGATTATAATTATTATAGATTATAGAATTATTCATCATATTATGTTTTGCGCCTTTGCATTGTGGTTGTCCGTCGTTTACGTCCGACATATACAAACAATAAATGTACAGGCAAGTCTCCCTAAATCGAACCGCCCCATGTTATACCGACCTCCCGTTTCCATATTTCCAAAAACGATGTTCGATGTAATTAATATGCCCTTACTGTGCACGGTTACATTGGCTTATTTCCTTAGTACAAACCTTACAATATATGTATTGCAGATCCGCTGCTGCTCCGGCGCTTCTACCAGTGCATGTTTGGGGACGTGGAGGAGACTCGGAAGCTCATGGAGGTGAACTACGCCCTGCGCAACCGACACCCGCACCTGTTCATCCGGAGGGATCCCCTAGACGCAGACAGCAGGCGCACATTCGACTACGCGTAAGTGTGTCCTTATTTAAAGGAATGGGCTTTCTCTCTTTTTAAGGGCAGGCTCCGTTCCAAAAACATTCTTGCTCGCATTTCATATACTCGAACTTCAGGAACATTCTACCGCTGCCGGGCCTAACTCCGGACAAATGCAAGGTGTCACTGTACTGCTTCCGGGATTTCGAGGCCTCCAAGGTGAGTAATAGCTGCTCTTTGCTGTAGGACCCTACGCTTCTGACCTCTTAATTTCATCCCCAGATGCACCACACAGAGGACACGCGCGCCTTCTTCATGGTCAGCGACTGCCGGTTTGTGACGCCGGATGATCCGGCCAACCCGGATGTCCTGTCCGAAGGAGAGGTGCAGATCTTCGACATGAAGGGCACCACCATGCGACACATTTCGCGGCTGACGATCAGCACGCTGCGCGCCTACATCAAGTTCCTTCAGCTGGCATTTCCGGTGCGCCTGCGCGCCATCCACATGATAAACTGTCCTACTTACCTGGATCGGATCGTCAGCGTGGTGAAGCCGTTCATAAGCGACGAGGTCTTTAAGCTGGTGGGTTTCGTCACTAAAAGTTTTTATCTCAAATAACTTATCTTTACCATACATTTCAGATCCGCTTTCACACGCAGAGCATTGATACGCTGTTTGAATTTGTGCCGCGAGAGATGCTGCCGGAGGAGTACGGCGGAGGAGCTGGGTCCTTGGAAGCACTGCGGACCCATACCCAAAAGGCCTTGGTTGAGCATCGGTGGGTTTTGATCTGCATGTGATGGTTCGTTAGTAACGCCTCGTTGCCTTTTCTAGCGATTATCTGATGGACCCCGATCAATGGGTGGTGGTGAAGCCGGAGAAGCGGAACGAGAGCTCGTGGAGATTTTTTAAATGATTCCCAAAGACATGTTCCAGGGTGACGAGAAATCTCTTTCAACCAAAGACGGTTAGAAACTGTTCGAATAAATGGAGATAAATAGTTCCTGCGGCTCTTCATCTCTTAAATATCACTTTTTTTTAATTTGTTTTGAAATTGCTTGAAAATAAATAAGTAAAACATGTGCCATATATTTTCTTTTTAACCCAATAAAGTACAATTAGAATCGAAATATTTATTTTTGGGAATACAACAATAAAAATACAATGTAAAATACTATGATCGAAAATACTACTTTTGAAAATACTACTTTCGAAAATACACCTTTGGCACATTTGAAAAGTAAAATGCAGAGCGTCAGTGGAGACAAGAAAAGCGGCTATCGATAGTGAGCTATCGAAATACGATTATCGTTATCGCACGACGTTGTCGGTGGCATTATTTATTTTTTTGCGATTTATCATATTTTTACCCATCTAATAAATAGTTTACCAAGTTAGGAATCCGCACAACTACACAGCCATGGAGCGGCCACAGAAGATGCCCAAGGTGGCCAAGGTAAGAGCCATAGTCCGAAATTCACCAAAGCATCGTATTCAATCCAAAATTTCACCAGGTCAAGAACAAAGCGCCGGCGGAGGTGCAAATCACGGCGGAGCAGCTGCTCCGTGAGGCCAAGGAGCGAGATCTGGAGATTCTGCCGCCGCCGCCAAAGCAGAAGATCTCCGATCCCGCCGAGTTAGCTGACTATCAGCAGCGGAAGCGAAAGACCTTCGAGGACAATCTTCGCAAGAACCGCATGGTGGTCAGTCATTGGATCAAATACGCCCAGTGGGAGGAGCAACAGCAGGAGATCCAGAGGGCGCGCTCTATTTGGGAGCGAGCGTTGGACAATGAGCACCGGAACGTGACTCTCTGGCTGAAATACGCCGAAATGGAGATGAAGAACAAGCAGGTGAATCATGCTCGCAACCTGTGGGATCGGGCAGTGACCATCATGCCGCGAGTCAACCAGTTCTGGTACAAGTACACCTACATGGAGGAGATGCTGGAGAATGTGGCAGGGGCGCGTCAGGTGTTCGAGCGCTGGATGGAGTGGCAACCAGAGGAGCAGGCCTGGCAAACCTACGTCAACTTCGAGCTGCGCTACAAGGAGATCGACCGGGCACGGGAGGTCTACGAGCGATTTGTCTATGTGCATCCGGACGTGAAGAACTGGATAAAGTTCGCCCGCTTCGAGGACTCCCATGGGTTTATTCATGGCGCCCGGCGGGTATTTGAGCGCGCTGTAGAGTTCTTTGGGGACGAGTACATCGAGGAGCGTCTGTTCATCGCCTTTGCACGCTTTGAGGAGGGGCAGAAGGAGCACGATAGGGCGCGCGTCATCTACAAGTACGCGTTGGATCATTTGCCTAAAGATCGCACACAGGAGCTGTTCAAGGCCTATACGATACACGAGAAAAAGTACGGCGACAGAGCGGGTATTGAGGATGTGATCGTTTCCAAGCGCAAGTACCAGTACGAGCAGGAAGTGGCTGCCAATCCAACCAACTATGACGCCTGGTTCGACTATCTGCGTTTGATTGAGGCGGAGGGCGAGCGAGATCAGATCCGTGAGACATACGAGCGGGCCATTTCTAACGTGCCGCCTGCCAACGAAAAGAACTTCTGGCGACGCTACATTTACCTTTGGATCAATTATGCTCTGTACGAGGAACTTGAAGCGGAGGATGCGGAACGTACGCGCCAGATCTACAAGACCTGTCTGGAGCTGATACCTCATAAGCAGTTCACCTTCAGTAAGCTCTGGCTGCTGTACGCACAATTCGAGATCCGCTGCAAAGAGCTGCAGCGAGCACGCAAAGCTCTGGGCTTGGCCATCGGTATGTGTCCCAGAGATAAGCTCTTCAGGGGCTACATTGAGCTGGAGATTCAGTTGCGTGAGTTCGAGCGCTGCCGCCTGCTGTACGAGAAGTTCCTGGAGTTTGGACCGGAGAATTGTTCTACCTGGATGAAGTTCGCCGAGCTGGAGAATCTGTTGGGCGACACGGAACGGGCGAGAGCCATTTTCGAGCTGGCGGTGCAGCAGCCGCGCCTGGACATGCCAGAGCTGCTGTGGAAGTCGTACATCGACTTCGAGGTGGCCCTGGGCGAAACGGAGCTAGCCAGACAGCTGTACGAGCGCCTCCTCGAGCGCACACAGCATGTAAAGGTGTGGATGTCGTTTGCCAAGTTCGAGGTCGGCCTCAGCCACGGCGACAGCGGCCAAGATGCGGAGCTCAACGTGCGGCTGGCAAGGAGAGTCTACGAGCGGGCAAACGATATGTTGCGTCAGCTGGGCGACAAGGAGTCGCGTGTTCTGCTGCTAGAGGCATGGCGCGACTTTGAACGCGACGCCTCCGATTCTCAGGCGCTACAAAAGGTAATGGACAAGATGCCGCGGCGCATCAAGAAGCGGCAGAAGATCGTCTCGGACGATGGCGTCGAGGAGGGTTGGGAAGAAGTATTCGACTACATCTTTCCCGAGGACGAAATGGCTCGACCCAACCTCAAGTTGCTGGCTGCCGCCAAGATGTGGAAGAAGCAGAAAGACGTCACGGAGGACGACCAACCCACTTCAGCTATTGCATCTGATCCAGAGCTGGCAGCAGATGCTGCTCCAGCGGAGACGACGGATAGCGGCGACTGATCCGAAACAAGCTATTCCCTTCTGCGTAAGAATCTTTGCTTTTGAACAAAGTTAAATATCCGACATCGCAGATTTCCGCTTTATTTTTGGACACGTTAGGAATAGACCACTTAAATAAAAAACCATAATGATCATTTATTTTTGTAATTTATGTATTATATTTTTGCGAGTTTGCGATTTACAACAACACTTTGTCTTGTAAAAGAGGGATTATGATCTTCCTACTTGGCCCTCAGCAAGAGTGTAAAAACCGAGTAGGTAAACCTCATGACCTGGAATCAAGTGCAAGTATATGACAACAAATCAAAAACATTTGAAATAGTGAAATTGCGCCTTGCCTGCTCGAAGGTCTCCAGCGAGAGGGCGATGTAATTGCCTGCATAGATGAGAGAAGGCCGCTGAGTCCTAGCCAATGTGAAGAGCAGTTCCCGCTTGAACTTAGGCAGCTGTTCCACCCAGTTGCAGTCGTAGAATGCGTCGCACAGCGCCTCGCTCTGCGTCCGCATCCTGTCCCCAAAGTAACAGATTACAAACACCTCCAAGGTAACGGCCAAGAAAAAGACAATCGATATGATCATGGCGGTATGGTCGTGCTCATCCGCCATGTACAGGAAGTGCATGGCGACGCTACACTGAACGGCGGCGGAGCAGGCGAACTGGGCCATGCAGGCCGCAGAGAGGACTCGCTGAATGATCTCCCTCAGCCGATGGACCCGCATCAGATCGCGGATGCACTCGACCAGTTCCTGGTACACCTCCTCTCGCCAGGCTTCATACGACTGCCCTTCTGTGGAGTTCTCCTTCCGAGATCCAATCCGACGCACCCTCAGCTCCAAAGCACGCATATGACCCGTGAGCAGGCAGAGAAACGCAGGCGGATAGGAGTCACTGGCGCAGTTCTGAATAGCCTGCACAACCAAACCGAAGAGCTGGTAAATAGTGATCAGCACATAGTTTCTGGTGGAGTGCATCCAGTCAACGCCGAACCAGGCCGGATACAGGAGCTCTCGATGCGGACGAACGACCAAGCGGATGCAACTCAGAATGGTGCCAAACACGAAAATACTGCCAAAGGTGCGAAATGTGCTCTGTGCGATATTCACTTCCTTCCTCAAGGCAGATATCTCCTCGGGATCACCCACCAGTCTGGCTCTTGCGTCCATTAGCCTTAGGAGCGAGCGGATCTCATGGAGCTGTTTCCGCACCATGTACACATTCGCAAACTTCAAATTGGCCACAATATCCGTGATAGTAATGGTCAGGTTTTCGCAGAATCCGGCCATATTGGTGGTAAACAGCAGCCTGGCCAGCAAGCTCACGGGAAACAGCACGGTGACCACCAAGTTGACCGTTATGGAGTACACCAGGTATCGCAAGTTAGCGACCCCCGGAGGACGCATCAGGCCAGTGAGCTCCCAAACGCGCCAGTGGTAGTACACAGCACTGTGGGTGTCCAGTTCGGATTCCTCTTGCTTCGCCATTATCCCGGCTGCCTTTGAGGCAACTCCATGAGTCCTTATGCCTTTATACTCTGGCGATTACCAGTGATTGCGCTATTAGATGGATTGTTGGCCCAACTTGTGGGTTAAGTGGCTGGGAAAAGTAACCATTGGGCCGAGTATAATGATCCCCCAGAAAAAGTTTTCGCGGTGCCTTTAGTGTTTTGTTGGAAATCTCTCTTTATTCTGCGGTATTATTCATTCTTGTGGGGATGGGGAAGTGTTTATGTAGTAGCAAATAGCGATTAAACCTAAGAGCACCTGACAAGCTAGGTCAAAGGGCCAGATTCTAAAATATTTTGTCTTAGGACTCCCTATTTGCCATTTAGTTATTTAGCTACCTGAGGGTTAAATGTTCCTCATTGATAATAATAATTCCACTATAAGTCGAAGTGGGTTTTACCGCGCCAAGTGTGAGAACGCACCCTAACCGGCGGTTTATACACTGTGCCTTAAAAATACTTGCAATTCTCCTCATTTCGAAGTCAGCTGAGTTTTTGCTTATCGAGGGATCGCTGTTAACTTTTCTTTGATTTCTTTGAAATTGGTGCTAAGTTTATGTTGCTATTAACAAGTCTGAGTTGAATGTCAAGTGTAATCAGGGTATGCTTAATTGTGCCCAACTTCCAAGGCAGTAATTTTTACTCCTAACCATGGGTGTACTGTTAACTGGTTTGGAAATTGATGCTATGCTAGAGTTTTTACAGTGGGCCTAGGTTCTACTTTTCCGCTAAGTGTGGCTGCTTTGAGGTTACTTGTCAGGTGGATCAGGTCATCAAGATCAGGAGCGTGATTAATCTACTATCGGTGAAGAGAACAGTGGACTAGGGTTCAGGGACGGGGTTTGGGGTCGGGAAAAAGAACACAAAAACAAATCCGTAGATGCACACCATCGAGAACACGTTCACAGAGTGATCTTAATTTGTAGTTTTTAAGAATTAATTTAAAAATACAATCAAGTGGTGTAATCCAAGGCTTACAGAGTGATTAATGCCAGAGTGCTTAGGATCCGGCCTCTTTGTTCCAATAATGTCGCGTCCAAGCACTCGGGCAGCGAATAGGAAAATAATTTATATATATATATATCAATATATATGCATATATAGCTAAGGGCGTGTCATAATGTGTACAAATAATTGCAGTTTTTGTAACTTAGAATTTAACAACAAATAGTTTTCGAATAAGGAAACTGTTACGTTACGTTACGGTTACATTTCAATACTCTACTTTACGTTACGTTAGACAAGTGAATCGTTATGAGTTATTCGTTCTCGCAATCGAACTCTTTATCGCTATAACTAGAGTTTCGCCCATATTATCATCGCTGGGTTTGTGTATTGTTGCAATATTATCGTACTAAGCTCAGTTCTCAGTCGCAAAAGCAACGTGTGACAAAAGCACCTCCTCCTCGGAGGAGGAGAAGGGTATATATATCCGATATAGAGTCGGGTTTTTGAGTTCTATATGTCATCAATTGTCAGACGCTTGCTGTTTCTCGCTTCTAGTTTTAGTTTTAGTTTTTAATTGCTCTTTTGTTTAACGTTTAAGTTTACGATTAGTTCTGTGAGTCGAGCGACCTGTTAATTCGGTTCGATTCGATTGATTCGGTTTCGGTTGCATTGGCTGCCTAGGGATTTGGAATTGTTGCATCTTTAGCGCTTCCGGCCTTAGGGGCGGCGCTCTGATTTGAAATTGCGTTTTTGTCTTTGTCTGACTTGGCATCCTGCAAAAGAAATACGAGAATTGCCAACGGGTTTCAATAGCTAATTTTTTCGAGTGTGTAAAAAGAGCTCTTAGATCTGTTTTCGCTTTCAAATGCATTCTGCGAATTTCTCTTGGCTATTTCCAGATAACTACGCCTACGAATTTCAATTACTTGAATAGATACGGGAATAGTACAACTTCTTATCTTAAAACCTCATAATTATCATTTCATATGCTATGAGTTTCAAAAGTTGGACTATACCTACTAATATAGTATCTTAATTGATATTCTGGCAGTTTAGGTTTCACGAAATTCACGAAATTTTGAGATGCCAACCAAAATGGTAAATGAAAACAGCCATAGGATTCAGAACTGAGGCTCGTTATAAAAAAGTATTAAGTCAATCAAGGAATCAAGTTACTAAGAGTGCATTTACAAATCTACTACACCTGCCACGATTGAACATTACAAAATTCTATTCGTTTTCTTTCAATTTGATAAAGTGGCAGCCATGTATGCGGTACGTTACCAAACAGTTCTAAATACTTAAAAACACAATTTTGACCAGTTCCTAAGGCTTCTGTGGCTGGAAGTATATGCCAATAGGTTTCTCTATTGTGTATATATATCAGTGCCAAGGGAACCGAAGGTGAAAATCGATGTAACAACAACCTCCTGCAGGACTGCAGGTAATGGGAGGCAGTGCATCAGGTTGCGATTCACTTTCTCTGCTGCCTTTTTTTCCTACCGCCCGGCAAACGCAATAAAGAGGAACGGGTGGGGGTTATGGATCAAATCAGGACTGCAAAGCGATTCCAGATCGAACCGAAAATGTACCCGGAATCGGTGTGCATTCCTGAAGAGATGCTCTGGATGGGACACCTGTTCCTAGGGAATGAGGAGATGTTGGGGATCCACAATATGCTCACCTTGGCCTTGACACTAGCTGCCTCCTGCTTGAGATACTCTTCCCGCGCCGCCTCGTAGAGACCAACAAACTTGTCCCGCTGCCCTTTATACTGAGCAAAGAGTTCGTCGTCTTTGTGGCCCTTCAATCTGTTCTCGATATCCACCTTCTTATCGTGCTCGCTGCGTATCTCGTCCGTGACCCAGGGCTTGTCGATGGGATACTGATTGATCAGGTTCTTCAGTGTCTTTATGCTGCTCTTCCCTTTCACCACCTGCTTGATTAGCTTGGGATTGGGCTTCATGATCCGGCCGCCATTCATGTTCATTGGTCCAAAAGGTCCGCCTGGTGGCATGCCTCGCGGCGGCATCCGTGGACCCATCATATGCATGGGCGGTGGGCCACCCATCATAGGACCTGGACCGGGTCCGTTGCGCCGCATAAAATACGGTGGCGGCGGCGGCGGTGGTCCACCCATAAGGCCCATTGGCCCGGGACCGCGCACACCGGGCATCGGTGGCTGAAAAGGCATCTGCGGGTAAGGTCCTCCAGGGCCCATCGGACCGGGTCCTCGTGGTCCGGGGCCCATTGGCGGACCCATCATGTGACGTGGAGGAGGACGGTTCGGAGGGGGACCACGTTGGAATCCATTAAAGCCACCGCGAATATGGTTGGGATTGTTGCCCGGAAAGCGCTGCCAATCGCCTCCGTTCATCTGGTTGTTGAAGGGCTGCTGCTGCTGGTTATGCTTGTTGTTCTGGTTGTTCATCTTGCCCTGCTGCTGGTTCGGACTGTGATGCTGCTGCTGTTTGATGCCCTTCATAGGCTTTTTCTTGAGACTGTCCACCTGGTGTTGTTTGTTTCCCGGTGCCGGGCTGTTGAAGTCTATATACAGGGGATCGCTGGGCATTTGGCTGGAGGAGAACATCATCTGCTTGTTACTATTGCCGTTGGCAGTGTTATCATTCCCATGTCCATTTCCATTGCCGTTTCCTCCTGGTCCGGAGTTATTATTGCCCGGACGAAAGGGTTTCCTGTACGGAGCCGCAGCTGCCCGGGGATTATTGTTGCTACTGCTATTATTGTTGCTCTGGTTGTTGCGGTGCTGTGGATACGAATTTTGCTGTTGTTGCTGAAACTGTTCCTGCATTTGAGGTGGATGCTGCTGCGACTGCATGGTCCGGTTCTGATGGAATTGGTTCTTGGACACCATTGCAGGTAGCAAAATTCAGATGAACAGGGGGGTTCAGGACTCGATTAAGAAAGCCAAGTCGAAACGACAGGCGAGGGTAAACGGACCTATATTTTTACACGCTTATTTGTCACTAGAATTTATATTGAAAAAATTACGATGAATCGATTACGAATACGACTCTATCGCACTGCAGTTGAAAAGTTAAACAAGTGTGAATACTATGGTTGCGATAGTTGCCGGCGAATGTTTTCCCACAGATGTTTCCACTGACACAAATGTAACATATATGCACATCACATCAAATTTCATACTGTCTCAACTTCACAAGCAGTAGTTATCGCCTGCGCTGTAATCGATAAACGTACTTTGCACGTGTGATTTAAACCAATGTTTATATTATTGGGTTTAGTTGATACTATTACTTTATTTTATTAACCACTTTGGTAAAGTAAAGTAATCATGGGCAAGAAGGTGCACAATGCCAAAGCGCGCCAGAATCCACAAACAATTGTGGACAACTCGGCCGTGAAAAAGGTGGGTAAACCGTAGAACCAAACAGGTTGAACCCGATTTCTTACCGTTTGTTAAATCCAATACTCTATAGATTCAGATCGATGTGGATGCTGTGGCCGGCGGAAGCCAAGTTGGCTACGATGAGGCCAATGCTCTGGTGCTGCCCTCAGAGAAGCGGGCCACCAAGATTAAAGTGGACAAAGTGCAGCACGTGAAGATCCTCTCCAAAAAGCAGCGCAAGCACCTCCAGTCGATTGTGGACAAAAAGAAAAAGAAAGAGGGTGTATGTTTTTATTCCATTTTTATATAAAACTGTCAATTAATTGAATCCTTGACAAATTTAGCGCGCTCAGCTGTTGGGTGACCTTGCTGCTGTTCAAATTCCGGAGGCGGAGCTGCAGCAGTACACTTCCATTAGCCAAGTACAAACCGTGGGATTAAAGCGTCTACCCACTCTGGACGAGTATCTAGCCAAGAAAAAAGAAAAGCAGGCCCAAGTCTTAGCTGAAAAAAGCTCGGCTTCTGGTCTCCGCGTAAATGCCATAAAGGGCTCCAAGCGCAGGCTTCTTGTCGAAGAGGAGGAGGAACGGGAGGCGAAGCGGAAGAATCCGAATGTAATTAGCGTGGAGGAAGACAATGACGATTCATCCTCCTCTGATGAGGACAATGAGACGTCACCAGCTCAATCCGCTCCTATTGCCATACCCACTCCAGTGTCTATAGTTCCACCGCAAGTCACTGTTAAACCACCCATTACAAAACTGAAGCCGGAGCCTACTCCTCTACCTGCCTGTATTCACCAGACTGTCTATGTGCCCGTACATCGGACAACAGAAGTTCAGGATGCCCGTCTTAGACTGCCCATCCTCGCGGAGGAGCAGCAGGTGATGGAGACAATCAACGAAAACCCCATTGTGATCGTGGCTGGTGAGACAGGCTCCGGAAAGACTACCCAGCTACCGCAGTTCTTGTATGAAGCAGGCTACGCACAGCACAAGATGATCGGAGTGACGGAGCCGCGGCGAGTAGCTGCTATTGCCATGTCCAAGCGGGTGGCCCACGAGATGAACCTGCCGGAGAGCGAGGTGTCCTACCTCATTCGCTTTGAGGGCAACGTAACACCGGCGACGCGCATTAAATTCATGACCGACGGTGTGTTGCTTAAGGAGATCGAAACTGACTTCCTGCTTAGTAAGTACTCAGTGATCATCCTGGACGAAGCGCACGAGCGCAGCGTTTACACAGACATCTTAGTGGGTCTCCTGTCAAGGATCGTGCCCTTGCGTCACAAACGCGGGCAGCCGCTAAAGCTGATCATTATGTCCGCCACTTTGCGAGTATCCGATTTTACAGAGAATACGCGTTTGTTTAAGATTCCACCGCCATTGCTTAAAGTAGAGGCTCGACAGTTTCCTGTGACCATTCACTTCCAGAAGCTTACACCAGATGACTATGTGGCGGAGGCCTACCGCAAGACCTTAAAAATCCATAATAAGCTTCCGGAAGGCGGCATTCTAATTTTTGTGACGGGACAGCAGGAGGTTAACCAACTGGTGCGCAAGTTGCGACGTACGTTTCCGTATCAACCGCCAAGCAAGGATGCGGCGAAAAATGGTAAGGAATCGGAGGAAGAAAAGGAGGAAACAAAGGATGATGCGGAATCAAAGGATGATGCAGATTCGACTGTGGAGGATCCTAAGGAGCTGGAGTTTGACATGAAGCGAGTTATACGTAATATTCGCAAATCTAAGAAAAAGTTCTTGGCACAGATCGCTTTACCCAAAATCAACCTGGACGACTACAAACTTCCTGGTGATGATACGGAGGCAGACATGCACGAGCAGCCGGATGACGATGAGGACCAGGAGGGACTGGAAGAGGAAAACGACGATGAACTAGGCTTGGAAGGGGAGTCGGGAATGGAATCGGGTCAAAGGCAACCACTTTGGGTACTGCCGCTTTACTCGCTCCTCTCCTCGGAGAAGCAAAACCGCATCTTCCAGCCCGTTCCCGATGGCTGCCGGCTATGCGTGGTCAGCACCAATGTGGCAGAGACATCTCTCACCATTCCGCACATCAAGTATGTTGTGGACTGCGGTCGCCAGAAGACCCGTCTCTACGACAAGCTGACTGGTGTGAGTGCCTTCGTGGTAACCTACACGTCTAAGGCTTCGGCTGACCAGCGTGCTGGACGAGCGGGTCGCATCAGCGCCGGGCATTGCTATCGCCTCTATTCGAGTGCCGTGTACAACGACTGCTTCGAGGACTTTTCCCAGCCGGATATCCAGAAAAAGCCAGTCGAGGACCTAATGCTGCAGATGCGATGCATGGGCATCGATCGCGTGGTGCACTTTCCCTTTCCCTCACCACCGGATCAGGTGCAGCTGCAAGCCGCCGAGCGGCGATTAATCGTGCTAGGTGCCCTGGAGGCCACCAAGACAGAGAAGACAGATTTGCCACCAGCCGTTACCCGTTTGGGTCAGGTTATCTCCCGCTTTCCCGTGGCGCCGCGCTTTGGAAAAATGCTGGCTCTTTCCCACCAGCAGGACCTGCTGCCCTACACCGTCTGCCTTGTGGGGGCGCTTTCAGTCCAGGAGGTGCTAATCGAAACGGGGGTTCAAAGGGACGAGGATGTGGCGCCCGGCGCGAATCGGTTCCACCGCAAACGGCAAAGCTGGGCGGCCAGCGGCAACTTTCAGTTGCTTGGAGATCCCATGGTCCTATTACGGGCCGTGGGAGCTGCAGAGTACGCCGGATCACAGGGCCGCTTGTCAGAGTTTTGTGCTACGAATGGATTGCGACTGAAAGCGATGAGCGAGGTGCGAAAATTGCGGGTCCAGTTGACCAACGAGATAAACCTGAATGTGAGTGACATTGAGCTGGGTGTGGACCCCGAACTAAAGCCTCCCACCGATGCCCAGGCACGGTTCCTTCGCCAAATTCTGTTGGCCGGCATGGGCGACCGGGTGGCTAGAAAGGTACCTCTGGCAGATATCGCCGACAAGGAAGAGCGGCGACGATTGAAGTACGCATACCATTGTGCCGACATGGAGGAGCCAGCCTTCCTGCACGTCTCTTCCGTGTTGCGTCAAAAAACACCCGAATGGGTAATCTATCAGGAGGCATACGAGCTGCAGAACGGCGACTCTACCAAGATGTTCATTCGCGGCATTACCGCCATTGAGCCGGAGTGGCTTCTTTTATATGTTCCCTTGCTCTGCAACATACGTGAGGTGCGCGAGGATCCTGCTCCCAGATTCGATAAAACATCTGGAAAAATCTACTGTCATGTGGACGCCACGTTTGGCAAGTCTGGATGGGAGCTGCCCCTCGGGGAAGTGGAGATGCCGCTCAGCGAAAAGGCCTGCTGGTAAGTGTCTCAAAAGATTGGATATTTAAACAAGTGCTCATGCTAGTCTTGTCGTTTCAGTTACTTCGGCATGTTTCTGCTAGAGGGCCAAGTTTGCTCGAGGCTAGCCGACTTCCGGAGCAAACTAAAGTCCACACCCGCCTCCGTGATCAAGAGCTGGTCCAGTATGAACGACAAGGTATTGCGCTTTAAGCGCGCTCTCATTACCAAGCAGATTCATAACCGCCAGGCGCTGCTCGACCAGTGGATCAGCGATCCTCACTGTGAGTTTATCCCAGTCTGCCGAATAATTTTTCATTGCTAATCTGCCGTTTTTCCTCAGTCCTTTTGGAAGAGTATCAGAACCTGCTCTACGACGTGGCGCTAAGCGAACTGACGCCTTTATGGCCACCGGTAGACAAGAAAGAACCATAAAGCCAGCCAAAAAGCTAGATAGATGGGGGTTATTTTTTTTGTATAACAAGTTTCATTTATTATTTATTTAATTGATATATATTTATATAATTTTTATGTATAATATAAATATGAAATTTGTTTTAAATGGAACTAAAAAAATGGAGTGGCGAGGGGGAATAAAAATATTTTTGTTAACAGCTAAGTTTCGATAAATGTTTAATACAATCCATATATGTACATAGAAATAATCAATATTCATTGTATTTTGTTTTTTTTTTGTCTGTTGGTTTTGTCTGCTGGTAATTAATCGTAAGAAAATTTGTATGCTGTTGGTGAGAAATTAGCATTTACACTTGTGTTAATGAGAGATTTGGCTAATTGGGCATGTGGCTATATAGTGTGTATATGCCATGGTATATGGTATATACTCATCGAACGAACGGAACGATCGGATTCGGATAGGCCGACAACTGTAGCTTTGTTCGCTTAGCTTCGCTCTTCCCTATATGTACATGTAAATCGCTAGCTGGGATTGGGATTAGGACTCCGTTTGCTGTAGCTCCTCCCCCAGGCAATTGGCTGGGACTTCTCAAATGTCATCCACCATACGTCTACAAATGTGTGTAGAAAAAATCAGTCTAATATATTAAGGCAACGTGAGAGCTTTACATGTCGTCATTCCACTTGATCCTCGTCCTCATCCTCATCCTCTTAATCATCTAGGAATTGTGTGTAATATCTTAGTTTTGTAACTTGAATCCTGTCCGAAGTTCGCTTATCGCTTAGGCTAATGTTATGCGGGTTTTTGTATCATTTGTGTACTCTTTAACAATCAAATTTGGTATGTTTTGTGTCTGTGTGGGATTCATTAACTTTAACTTTAAACTTATTTCCGTTAAATATACATTTATAAATTCTTTAGGTTTGCTTAATATTTCTGTATTGGCTAGCGAGAGGAGAAAGAACAAAATAGGTAATGTTTGAGAAGCATTTGGTTTTCCGTTTCCGTATTATACAATTCGCAAGTTACAACAATTAGTTAGATATATATCTTATGATCTGTCCAATATCCTGCTCTCGATTTGCGCTCTTTTTCCTATATACCGAGTATAACCTATAACTTTGTATTAATACTAAAAATTGAATTCGTGTGTTTTTTGTTTGTTTTTGTCTGAATTATTGTAGTTTGCTCCTAATTCCTATGCATACACTAAACGCAGTCGTTTTATAAACATTACTTTGATTTCTTGGAAGTGTTCTCATTTGTTGTTGTTTGTTTGTTTTTCTGGCCAGGAACGGTGCTCGGATATGGGCCACACCCATGGAAAAGGCGTACAATGCGGAAGCCCGGGGCAAGGTTGTCTCCTCTCTGCCAATTCAATCTCCATATTTCTGCTCTTTGCTGATATGTATTACAAGGTTGTGTCCATGTCCGCCTGAATGTCAGTCCCTGCCCTTAGGGTGTTTGCTTGGCAAACAAATGCAAATATATGTGATCCTGTTAGACCGTTGTCCGCGTCTCGCTTTCGCCATTCTCATCGCTTGGGGACTCCTCGGAGATCAATTCGGGCGTCTCCTCTGGATTCACTGCGTCCTCTTCCTGGCAAAATGAAGGGGAACTTGGGGATTTGGCACTGGAAGTGGAGCTGGTCTCAGCAGGGACGGGACTAGACGGAGGCGTTGGCGGAGCAGGCTGTTCCTCGGGCTTCGAAACGGTCACCTCTTCCAGCGGCGCTTGCTCCTCGAGAAACACTACTGCTTTCTCTTCCTGCTCTGGCTCAATTTCCATTTCTCTTGCCCCCTCTTCACCTTCGTTGGCAGTGACTGTGGCTGTGTCCATTTCCTTCGTCTTCTCAGCCGGCGCATCTTCCTGTTGCTGCTGCTGAACGGCATCATCCAGTTTTTGAAGCAGCTCTGGGGACAACTCACCCATATCGTAGAGTCTTCTCTTGTTATTGTCCAAAATGATTTCCTTCCACATGCTCACCAGCCTGGTGAAGTTCGTCAAGTCGCCATGTTCGCCCTGTGGTAATGGAATGGAGCGCGTGGACGACGTATCCTCGTCCTCGGAACTGCTGCTGCTTACCGCTCGGATCATCGCCTTGTGTGATTTAGAGGCATCGCTGGTAGTTGCCGTGGAGGACTCGCCGCCTCCTATAATTGGAGCAAGGCCAGCCAGCTTTACCGGAATGTTGTACTCGTGGAAATCGCGCTGAATGGAGCTTCGTCGCGAATTGGCCATCTCCTCGGTGCTGCCCATGATCTGATTGTATTCCCTTAGACCCAGCTCCTCTACTGGCACATAGTGGTCACCGATCTCCACGAGGTAAACATAGCGGTTGACATGTGAACGAAAGCGAATGTCCTTATGGTTGGGCGTCCAGCAGTGGACGACATGGCCCACCATACCGGCACTCGGCTCCCAGTCCTTCCAGGACAGCCTGCCACCATTGTTGCGCATTCGTTCAGTTGGCCACACAACAGCATCTATGATGTCCAGGCAATCGTAAATCTGTTCAGGGATTTAGGTTAATTACCTTGATTTAAAGGGTTCATAAATATTTATACTCACCCCAGTGTCATCCACAATTATAACCTTTTTGAAGATCTCAATGCGCGGCTTCCTGATAACTCCACCTCCTCCAGTTCCAGCAACTGTTCCCGATCCTGCGGGCTTTCCCTCTGCCGCTGAATTACTAGTTCCTGTTTCAACGGCGGTGAGGCAAATGGGTCCCTTGGTTTTCCTCGGATAATCTCCTGGCGTTGTGATAATGTTGCCAAGGCCCACGCCCATTCCAAGACCGAGGCTGCCTGAAGAAGAGGAGAGCTTTGTGCTGCGCGGGCTTGGTTCATGTTCCACTTGGGTTTGAGGCGCGGTAAGATCCTTTCCTGGCTCACCACCGGCTCCACCGCTCGCGATGGGCAAAGTGGCTCTGCGTTCATGATCTCTACCTCTACTGCTGCCGACTTCAGGTCTTCGACTGCGCACTCCGCCACTACTCGTTGCTCTGGTGGCCCCACTGGCTCCTGCTCCAACCACTCCAGATCCAGAAGTTTCCTGATCCCGTTCTCTGTTCAGCAGTCCGGCAATCAGTGTTGTGGAGGTGGGTTTCACAGGCATCACTGCCAGACCTCCACGCACCACCGCCAAACTGTCGCTCACATAGCTACCGCCCAGATTGGCGGGAATGGGTCCTCCGGGAACATTTCCCGGACGCACGCTGTAGTAACTATTAACCGTAAGGGTGTTGTAGAGAGGAGCAGAAATGAAAACGGGAGCTAGGTCTCCGGACTCGCCTCCCGTGCTGCCAGCGGTGCCGGGAGGGGCTACTCCCAAACCAGATCCTGTCGAGGCACCCACTCCCGTAGCCGTGGATGCGGCTCCAACGACGCTGCCACCGCTGCCAAAGTTACAGGCACCCAGTTGGACGGGTCCCGATCCCGGATGCGGTTCTAGAGCAGATCCCGAACTGCATCCCTGGCGACAGCGCTCTCGTATACGGTGCCACCATCCCAGCACTGTATGCCGAATGGTGTCCAGTGTGATGGCGCCGCCAATCACTTCGCACAGTTGCGCATTTGTATCCGCATATGAAGTTGTGAGTGGAGACACGTAGATGGGATACCCAATGGGCTGATCGCAGCTGGAGTTGATGATGTTGCGCAGCGCTTGCTTGGCATTCTGGATGCTTCCGCGCTCCGGGTTTCTATTCCTCAGGTAGATCAGCTCCTGCTGCTGTCCTGCCCACAAGCCACGGACGCACTCTCTGTTAAGCTTGATTACCCTGAAGCTCAGGCACCTCTTTGTCAGCCGGATAATGCGGTACTCATCCGAGCCATCCTCCATTACGTGCCTCAAGGCAAGAAGATTGGGTGCTCCTCGTAGTACAGCACTTCGCCAAACGGGATCAGCCTCATGCGAAATTACCAACTCGTTAGAACAGTTGTCAATGGCATCGTACAGGGCATGAGGATCCAGGAACTCATCGGGATTGGTAATGTGGTCCTGCTGCAGCTTAAGGGCCATCTTAACCGCCGGTGCCACAACGGAATGAAGTAGCTCCATGTCCGCAAAGACCCATTCGTCGCGCGGCGATGTGATCCGGAAATCTCCTTTGAACAGAGCATGTAAACCGTGCAGAAAGAACTCCACACCGGTCATCGAGCTGTGCGAGGCCGTGGCCAGTGATCGCCTGGCCAAAAGGCCCAGGGCCAGGCACAGGGACACGAGTGGTGCATCTTTGCCCACGCTAGCTAGTTTCAGACGAATTGCGGGCTTTTCCTGACTTTCTTTCCGGCTAGTTGGAGCTCCGGCTCCTGCTCCTGTGGTGGTGCTACTCTTTGCGAGCTTCACGAAAACATTTTGATCCATATACGCTACGTAGCCACCTAGTCCGGGAGCACTCTCCGATGTTTGCCGCGATATATTAGCAAAGCTATGCGAGCCGCTCAGCTGTGGATCTCCACCTCCACCGGTCACTCCTCCTGTGCCAGCGGCAGTACTCCCTCCGACAACTGCACCTCCTCCGCCTCCGCTGGTTTCTTGGGCAACACTCTTTTGTGGACGGCGCAGCTGCTGTTGAGACTGTGACTTGGACTGACCTGAAGCCGGACCAGCCGGTCCACCGTGCGCCGAGAGATTGGGAGTGCTCTTCGAATCATTGTGGGCGGGAGTAACCGGTGGTGGCGGAGCAACAGCAGCCGTTGCCGGGGCGGACGATGCTCCTCCAGCAGATGCTGGTGCTTGGGCTGGTGGGGCGCCTCCCATAGAGGTAGCATCCCGGCGCTTATCCACACAGTAATTGATCCATTTGAGGTACACGTAGCAAAAACTGGAACGCGTGATGCCTACTGCCCGAAAATCAAAGTCTTCGTCTAAATTGAAATTGAAAATGGGATCTAGGTCAACGAACTGTCGACTTAGCGTATGCTGAAGGGCATCCTGTATGGGACCGGAGGCAAGCCACTGCTCAAGCTTGGGATTCTTTACAACATAATAGATGATGCTCTATAAAATAGTTTTCGATTAGCAGAAGTTATTACGCGCAAATCCAGAGGACTCACCTTAATGTAGTAGGTTATGAGCACCTTTCGGTACTCAAACACTTGAAGCGTGGCGCTGGCTAAATTGTCTGATATGGAGTAGCCCTCGATGACATACTGGGCTGCGACCACCTGCCAGGCCAGCCAGCGGGTGGAGAACATGGCGTTGGCGCTGAGCAATCGGGGCAGGTGGCCTGGATCGCAGCAGCAGCATCCGTCATTGTCCTCTACGTCCTCGGTGATGGCCTCCACCTCGCGTTGCTGGCAATAGGTGCCGCGGAACTCCAAGCCGCGCATCTGAAATGTGCACAATCCATTGCCTAGCTCAATGATGTGAACCAAACAGTTGAGGTCGTCCGAGGCAAGAACTGCAAGGATGGACGGGGTTTTTCAGCATATTTGCATTAAGAGTATAAAGCTATGTTGTTACCAAAGCAATCTCCTTGGTTGACATTTCCCCAGCGACCCATCAGGAGATCGCCGCACAGAGAGTGCTGCAGAGAGCGGGTTAAGTGCTCATAGAAGATGCTGTTAAGGTTGTTATCGTCCGCACCCAAATCCCGCTCCAGCTGCGAGCTGAGCCGCGTATTTGAGTGGTCTATCCGGCGCGTGTTATAGTCCCGCTCCCAGAACTTAATTGGACGCACATACGACGTGAGGAAGATGGCGCTGCCCAAAAACGGATTTAACGGAGTGGAGAGCACTGCGGAGATGCCCGCCTGCAGGAAGAGCATTGCCGAGTGCGGTACACTAAATGGCTGGGCGAAGGCGTGGAAGGCGGATCCCCAAGTTATTTGCCACGGAGCGATGTATGTCACAATAAATTGCAGCTAAGAAAGCACTTGCATTAGCATGGGATATTATTATATTATATTATTTCTCACCTTAAGCAGGAAGTCACAGCACTTGCGAAAGGCCAGCGACACAAAGAAATAGTCAATGATGAAGGTCTCTGTGGCCATGGCGAAGTCGATGCGGAATAGCAAAACCGTAAAAATTATGATCAGGTACTGGTTGGTCGGATCCGAGTAAGCGTTCCTTACAACTAATAAGTAGAGAGAGATTCATTGGGATTAGCGTAAAAGTGAGAGAGAGGCAAGATCCGTATATAGGTTTGTAGTTCGATTATAAGATTTAAATTCTTCTCGATCGGATTACTCACACTTTAGAGCGCAGATCGCTACGATGAGGGTGCCCCAGGCCAATCCAAACTTAGCCACAATCAACTGCGAGTCCGCCGTTAGAGAGGAAATGGCTAGCAGGGGAAAGAGCACGTTCCGCTCCAAGACACTGAGGTAAATGTAAAGCTTTTCGAACCACATGATCTTGGGGGCGTTGAGCACCTCAAACTGGCCAAACTCACGCTGCCGGAGCAACGGACGAGCAAAACAAAGCCAGGGCATGTGTTTCCTCATCTGCGGCACAATGTAGTGCAGCAGAAGTCCAAGCACGCCGATGAACGAGTAGAGAACCACGTTAAGATCCGGCTGTAGGGCGGTGAACACGGTGCTGGAGTGCAAACCCAGTACACTGACCGCCAGCAGGGTCATCACCACCAAGTCGTTCTTCAGCCGAGTGGTTACTGTAGCCTGCAGCTTTCGTGGTAGGGGATCGGGAAGGTCGTTGCCAGTCCCATTGTCGTTGGCATTTCCGTTAACGCCGCCACCACTGCTATTGTCACTGGCTTCAGTAGTTCCAGTTCCAGTACCCGGTCCCGTTCCCAGAACCCCCTGGTGTTGCTTTTCGTCAGCAGGCGCTTCAGCTTCAGCGTCGGGATCTGCCTCCAGGCAAGCGGGTGTGGCATCAGTGGTGGCTGTGCCCGCTCCCGCGGTCAACGTAGACATGTCCCCTGGGTTTGTGGCAGATGAGCTGGAGATCTTGTCCTCCGACTCATCAATTTTGGCGGCTTGGTCGTAGTTATTTACTAATTCGTGCTTGCTTCCCACCTCGCCAGCCAGTGTGTCTCTGCGTTGATCCTCACCATCCACCGCCTCCTCGGCCACCCCTCCAGCTTCCACCGGTGGTTCTCCCGTTCCAATGGAGGTACACGAACTGGATGCTGTTATGGCTCTCTTGCTACTGCTGATGGTCTTAGCCAGGGTTTGCTGACTGCTGCCCAAGGACGAAGTTTTAGATTTGCTGTGCTTTTGTTGCAGAGGCAGATCTTGATCTGTCTCTAGTTGATCATCCGCTCCGTGCTCTTTTTCTTGATGTTCCTCGTTGACGGTTAGCTTTTCTAGCGAGCTCAGCTCGATCTGCTCAGGCTCCGTTTTTAAATCTGTTTGCCTGTGCTGCTTCGGAGTGCTGGTGGTCAATTGAAGGGCAGTGTTATTGGCAGCCCCTGATCCGGCAACTGTTCCGGCTGCTACATGTTGCATCTGGCTGAGATCCTCATCCTCATCGTCACGATACGTGCTCACAATGCATGTCTTGATCAGCCGCCACAGATGGCTGAAGTCGCTGGCACATCGAGACAGATGGTAACCCAGGGGCACCAGCATGGCGCAGAAGATGGAGAAAAGAATGTACTGGGTTCCGCGCTGCTCGTCCAATGCACCGTACAGAGGTCCATAAAGCAGCATTACAGCAAGCACTGACCGGACAACGCACAAAAAGGAGCCTGTAAAGTATTGGGAATTAGTTCTAGATGCAAAATACTGCTTAAAAGGGTCTCACCTAGCAGACTGCTAGCAGCATTTCCGCCAAAGACATGCATGTCGATCTGCTCGAGCAGGTACATGAGGAACGTGTTTATCTGGGGACACAGTCCCACCGAGAATATGATGGGAAAGCACAGCAGCAAGATGTAGAGCGCCTGCAGAAGGAGGGCAACCACATCGGCGGGCGAGTAGCGCATGCCAAAGAATACCACCGGATCCGGTGTCCGTTCCCCGTAGTCCGTATCGAGGCGCTTTAGTAGCAACAGCATGCCGCCGGCAAGGCAAAAGTATATAGCCCGCGAGTAGGCCACTGTCTTGTTGAATCCGTGCACTGGCGAGGCTGCGTCCGGTTGCACACTTTTTACTAGCGAGTACTGAGCTCCCGCGATCACTGCACAGAAGAGCAGGGCACATAGATCCTTGTAGTGATCGTGCTGCAAGATCGCCGCTCCCAAGCAGGCTACCAGGGTGCACAGCAGACTGGCCAGGAGCACGTGCATCCAGTGGAGATCGCGGTCAAACAGGGCAAGAAGCTCTAGCCGGTCCATGGCAATCTTGAACTCGTGCTCTTGGCCGCACCACTTGAACCGGTACTTGTAAAAACTTTTAGGAGCCGCTGGCTTTTCTGCAGCGGAAAGAAGGCACGCGGGTCTCCAGTAGTCGCAGTAGGGTGCAAAATGCCCGTCCACATTCAGCATGGGTTGGCTCATCTGGCTGAGCTGACTAATTTGGCTGATCTGGTTGCTGGGGTGATTCGCCAGTCCTAGGGCGCTTAAAACTCCTCCCCCGCCACTCGATGCTCCTCCTCCTGCGCCGGAGGCTGAAACGGAGGCAGCCTCACTTGCATTTGCCGCCACTGCTGCTGCCGCATCGCTAAGTTGCTGCAAAGCGTCCAATTGGCTGCGGGCTACCTGGCGCTCGTTTCGGATCACATTGATCAATCCCTGTACCGAGAACGGAGCGCTGGATGGATGCCGGGAGCTAGAGTTTCCGCGCATTAGCATGCCCACATGCTGCTGCGTCATTTGCTGAGTTGCGAGTGTGTTTCCTCGGACTCCTGAGTTGGCCTCCGCCGCCGCAGCCAGCTGCTCGCACATCAATTTGGCATCCAGGCGCAACTTATCCCGAGCCAACGCCCGCTCAATGTTGGTCATGTGTTCCACACTGGAACCGGAGGTGGGATGGGTGCCCTGGAGCGCTTGAATGGCATCCTGGTAGAACTGGAAGTGTGCGTTGGACATGTTTGGCGGGACCAGGCTGCTGCTTGCCGGGATCGGAGTGCGGTCCGCCAAGGTGCCGGTGATGGATCGGCCCCGGTCGTCTACAGCATCGCTGTGCATCAGCCAGAGCATCTTGTGAAAGTCAGCCGTCAGGCTGTCAATGTCGGTCAAGCTGATGCTGTGCGTCGAATTCGAGGAGGAGGAATTCTGCGAAGCCAGCTTGGTCTGTTTGACTAGTGCAAACTCGTTTCCAGCCTCGGCCGCATCCGCCGGGGAACCTCCTCTGCGTCTTCTCCTCAGCTCATCCACTTCTCGGTACTTTACCACTTTTGGAATGGCTCCCAGGCTTTTGGCAGCCATTTTTGATGTGCATGGTTGCTCCTCGTCCAGTTGACATCTTTGCGGGAGCTGATGCTGCTGCAACTCCGACTCTATTCCCGCCAGCAGTTGGTCTTTGGAGCTGGCGCTCACTTGCTCGCAGTCACTTGAAGGGCAGCCAGAGTCCGCCTCGCTGCGTATGGGAACGGGAGCAATAGGGGCTGGAATTACCACTCCGGATTGGTGTGATAGCTCCTGGCGGAGTTGCTTGTCAGCTTGAATCTCTCGCAGTGTTGCCTGCTGGCGATTGCGATCGTTGAGCAATGGAGACCTCGATCCCGTGTTATTATCCTCCGTTTCCTCATCTTCGTCATCATTTCCGGCACTTACCCCTGCTGCCACGGATCCTCCCGACGACCCTGCGGCCTCCACTGGTGCGCCTTTATGATGGTGGTGCAAATGTGGGTGGTGATGGATATTGTGGGTCTTAAGGACGTCATCCAGCTGATTATGCGTCTGTTGCAGCTCACTAAGAATGTGCTCCAGGTTGTCGTCGAAATCTTTAAACACATCTTCGTCAGCACCGACGTCGTCTGCCAAGAAACCACCCACATCCGATTCAACACTGTAGTGCGTTTGGCTGCAGCCTAAAGCCCGCGTTCTTCTTCGGATCGGGACGTCGTCAACCTCGTCGTCATCGTCAGCGTTGCCTTGTCCTATTCCCAAGCACTCATCACCGCGTTCTTCGTGCCCCGTCTTCTCGTCTGAGTGCTCGACTATGGGGTAAACTGGAGGTTCAATCAATGCTGTTGTGGAACCGCACGCGCTGGAGCTGCCGAAAAACAGACTGCTGCATGTGCTGCTGTTACCAGGCCCCCCTCCAGCAGAGGGAGTTGCGTCGCTATAGCCTTGCGTAGGATACAGGTTAAGGTGCTGGTTACGCACCAGACTTTTGCTAGGAGGTGGCAGAGGATTCCGCATCTGTTGTTGACCCGAGATGGCCTCTACGCTGTTAGGGTGCGGACTGAGATTAGAAACAGAGGGCTGCGGGCATAGAACCTCCAGGGCTGCGCTTTTAATGCGCCTCACTCCACCAGTTCCTCCGGCTCCCCCTGATGTTCCTGCCTCTCCAGACGGGCCTCTGGAGCCTCCTCCGCCCGCCAGGGACGATTTGTTGCCCTGGCTCGAGCTGTGCTTGTAGCTCGTAGCGTTGGAATGTCTGCGTCGCTTCATACCAGCAGTAGAGCCACCTCCACCTGCTGCTCCACTACCGCCTGTTACCGATCCTCCCGTTCCTGGCTGGGCGGCTCCGGCCAGTTGAAGTGCAGACATTGTGCTGGTTGGATCTTTACGGATAATTGCACCTCCTAGGTGATGATGCAGGTGGTGGTGGTGGTGATGATGACGATGCTGGGTGCGGAAAGTTGGCTGATGTGGCTGCTCAATGCCCAGATCAGATTTGGTGTAGCTATCGTCCTCCAGGTACGCATCCGGAAAGGGATCTACATGGGCAACATATTACATATTAAACTAACTAACTTATTGAGGTTTCTAAGCTACAACCATGGAGGGTTTCGATTTCCTATTAGCTTACCTAATATCCAGGACTGCAGTGCCCGGCTACAGGCATCCGCCACTCCGCCGCTGCCCGCATTCCTGACCAGGCCCAGTTCCATGTCTTCCACATCGTTTGCGGCACTACTGCCTCCTCCACCGATCACTGCCAGTGCGCCGATGCTGCTGGCTGCACTGTGGTGCGGAAGTTGGAGAATGGGCTGGAAAAGTCCACCACGACTCTGGTGCTTCAGCCGCTCGTCATGCGTCTCCGAGCTTCTGTGCCGCTGCAGACGTGATGAACGTCCTGGATTCACCGAAGAGTTCGGGGCCGGGGCAATGACCACGACGGCAGTGGATGAAGAGGAAGCATCTCCTCCGCCTATTCCTGTCGATGGGGTGCTGGTTATAAAGTGCTGACGCGGATTGGTCTGACCGCGCGCCTTGTTCGTTGGCTGAGAGTGTAGGAACGAGGGTGCCGCTGTGGCTATCGTATCCGACTGATTGCGCATCAACTTGTTCTCCCCGCTGGAGCTTGCAGCGGCTGCCGCTGTGTCCAAGCTGCTCTGCCGTTCCAGACGTCGTCGATGGCGGCGGCTAAATACCTCAGAACACTTGCGCGACAGATGTCCAGTGCGTACGTGCTGGGCTGGTGCTGTTCCCGCTCCTGCAGGTCCCAGTGTACTCACTGCTCCGCCTGATCTACTGTCGCCACCACTGCTACCTCCATCTGCGCTACCCGCACTGCTTCCAACCGCCTCGACAACCTCTGGATAGACGGTAAGGTACTTGTTGAACAAGTCTGCCTGAGCAGCGGCGCTGGTGGACGAGTTTCCGGCCGGTCCCGTGCTACGAATAGACTTGCTAACGCTGGCGGAACCGGCCAGCGATTGTTGATCCTGCTGGCTGCCGCCGGAGAGCATGGATGGCGCGTAGAACATCAGTTCAATAGACTCCGAGCTGTTCTTGCGATGCACATCGACCTTGAGATCTGCGAAGAAGAGTTCTTAGGCAATGGGACGAGGCCACAATAAGTAAAACTCACCAATAATGCTGTTCACGTTGTCAATGGACATGATGCTGTTCTCCTCGCTTGCTTCATTGATGGCCTGCTCGACGGAAATGCGTGAGCCGCCCGGTCGGATGACCTTCATCTCTATGCCGACCTCGTCGTCGTGGCGCGGTTCCGTTTCTTTGGTGACCTTGATGAACTGCCCCTTGAGGTTCACCTCGGACATGGTCTGCGCGCGATCGTAGAGCCGGTGGAGCGCCAGATTGGCCAGCTTCACCATCAGAATGGTTAAGCTGGTTATCACGCAGTACAGGCACCATGTCAACCAAGTGCTCGGAAAGTACTGCAAGATGGACGTTAGAAGCAACTACTTAGAACTACACTCGGTCACTACTTACCAGGTAGGCCACAAAGGGCGAGCAGAGCAGGTAGAGCCACAGGTAAAGGTGCACCACGTTGCAGAAGACACCCTGATGCGGATCGTAAAAGTAACCGCCGGTCAGCGAGGCCCACACGCCCTGGCGCAGAATCTCCAAGGTCTGTGAACCCATGGTGGCCTATACTGCATCGCTTAGCCGACGGATGGATGAGGATCCACGCTTTTGCTGCTCCAGCTTCCGGATTACTCACTGTAGGAGTTGCTGCTACTGCTGCCGCTGCGTTTCGTCACTCTTCCTCTTCCGTTTGTTTAGTTGCTGATTAAGCCTGTCAAGCTGCAGGCGGGGGGCGTGGTCTGCGGGTAAGGCCTTGGGAGGCGGTGGCAGCGTGGGTGGTGCACGGGGGCTGAGGGGAAGGCGAAGGCAGAGTGGCTGGTTTTTTTGAGGGGAAAGCTGTGGGACAGGAGACAATGCTGCGGCTCCGCTGGAAACACTGCAACTCCGGACTGGCGGTACGCCGTAGATTGTTTGCCGGGGTCTCAATGATGCTGCGAAGGGATAAAACGAATATCGCTCGCAATCCTGCCGTAATTTTAATTTTTTTTCTTTTGTTTAGAGCCTGTCCTGTCATCGATTATTGGTCCGTACCTATCGGGCCCTATCGCACTTCGATATCACTAGGAGAAATGGTAACACTGCGGTCTAGTATTTCAATTTTAAAAATATGTTTATTTTATAAACTTTTTTACATTTCCATAAATTCTTATTTGCTAACTTAACTAAAATCGTTATTAATTCCTTCCCTAAGAGGCCCCTTGATTTTGTATAAGCTCTTTACAAGTTTTAGAAGCGTTTTATTAAGTGTAAAGTCATTTATATTTATTTATATACCTATTATACCATCGTGAATATGAAATTTTATTCTGAAATATACTTGTTTTAAAGGCAAAAACTTTCAACACTTTTCTTAGAGCCTAACTTATTGAATAATGGCAAAGGTAAAAACCAAATATGAATAACCTTGGCTTTGGATGCCCTTCACATTTCTCTAAAACTAAGTCCTTCCTCCGGTTTAACTTTATTTCCCTTTACACTTAAACTAAGATTAGGCTAGAAAAAAAACAAACAAAAAAGGATGCCTAAGTATCTAGGGAATCACAAGGAGCCGGGATGATTCGATCGATCGGTCCACATCTACCACCTCCGGTAAGTCTGCGCCCCCCCATGGGCGCTGCATAGTCAGCGCTCCTCACTGCTGCTCCCGTCGCCGCCGATGAAGTCGTCCCGCAGTCCGCCCCTGTGCTCGTAGTTGTGGTGGTGGTGGATGTGCTCCTCCTCCTCTTCGAGTTCTGGCAGGACTGGTGGCGCCACCGGAGGCGGAAGTGGGTGGTGGTGCTCGTGATGATCATGGTGGTCGTGGTGGTCGTGGTGATCGTGGTGATCGTGCTTCTCGTGGTGGTGAATGTGCTCCTTGGTCTGGTGGATCTGGATGGGTCGATGGTCCTCGTGGATCACCTTCTTCTCCTCCTTCAGGACGAGCGGCTTGTGGTGGTGGTGCACGTGTTTCACCACGGTGTGTATGTGCTTTTCGATTTTCTTGTGAATGGGCACGTGGATAACGATTTTCTTTTTCTTCTGGTGGCCCCTGAAAAATTATAGGAAATACATCTTTAATTCGCGACATATTATTTGATTCTATATAATGCTCGTTTCGAAGATGGATTTAGTTTAAGTTAAAAAATGTAGCTATGTAAGGTCGTTCGAAATTAGTTTTAGCAAGAGTGAAAGCCCTTCATTATTTGAAGTTGTCAATCGTTCGTTAATCTGCATGGTACTCAAGGCCTTATGCCTTGATTTGTCATCTATGCCCTCGACGTCCCAGTAATCCCCTGGATAATCCATACCCCGCATCCGTTTCCGGCACGCAGACGAGCAGCAACACCAGCGCCACCACAATCGAGAGCCTCAGCAGCTGCGAATAAAGGGAGCACGGATATTGGGTGTAATCCTCGTGTAGATGTAATTCCGGGCGCCACTCACCAAACTGCGGTTATCCATGTCGCTTAGCTAGAGATCGAGGTGCTGAGGTGTTGAAGGCTCCGACGAAGCGGCTGCTTTGATTGCTGCCCCACTGCGACCATTTTATTTATACAGGCGCAGGCCCACGGAATGCGGTGGAATACGAATACCCCGACGTTAGTTGGCGGCGCTTCCGTGACGCAGTCCACCAACGATATGGGCAGAGCCATGGGCTTCGCTTTGCTTTGATGGAGCCACACTTGGTGGAGCGCCTGCGCACGCGCCGCGAAAAAACGGAGCTGGTTAATCAGTGGAAAACCTGCAATTTCCATTCATTTCGGATGGCAGCGATCATCGTGTCATGTCTTGTGGGTGGTGGGTGGTTTTCGGGCGGGGGAGGACTACTCCCCACCGAGACTATTGAGACTATTGTGGGATCTGCACTGCTAAAAGAAATCACGCGTGAAAGTATATAATCTCCCATAACGCAAATGTTACTGTATTATTTAATTTCCATATAAAAGTAATAATCTGCATTCTATGCATTTGCTTAAGCTAGTTTTTGAGTTTAAATATCCCTTAGGGTTAAATTTCGCTATTACTTATCCAATCTGAAGATCCAAAGTAGAGATCGCAGATCTTGTGAAGCCACCTTTAATGGTTGCCCAATTAACCGGATTAATGGAACCCATGACTTCAGATTTCCACCAATTTGGCAGGGCATGGGAGCTTCGTCCCCATTGATAAGTTTTTTTTTTACCATTGTTTATTTTCTTTGTTTTTCCGTTTTGTTTCGGCTGTGTGTGAACTTCTTCTAAAGCTTATGCCTTTTTTCAGCAGCTCACGCAGACGGAAGGCACGGAAAACTGCACTCAAAAGTTAGGAGCCCCACACCGAAGACCCAAACTCAGTCAACGGAAATAGCAGGAGTGCAGCGTGTGTTTAATACTCACAAAGATATGTTGCATGGTCGCCCAGACCCCTGGATTTATTCAGCCCCCTCCCGATTCCCCGATTAACTTGAGTACATGGCACGTAACGCGAGAAATAGAGAAATACGTTACAAATAGATCGCATGCACATGGCGCATATATCTATTATGCAATCGTACAGGCGATTTGCCAGATTTGCGGGTGTTATTTAATTGTGAATCCCTTGTTCGTATTCAATTTCGAATGCGATCACTCATAGAATTTTAAGCCTATCGATATCGGTGGCTGTCATCGGTTAGAGACCCAGCGGCAAGAAGAAGCAGCGCCGAAGAAAGGGGGAAACAGAAAGAGCGAGCGAGCGAAAGAACAGAGAACAGCGATAATAGCGTCACCCTCGCACAGTGGTCGAAATCTCTTCCCAAGCTGGTTCAAATGCATGTTTCTTCTATTATGATGTTGAAAATGTTTCATTTCCTCTCTTGACTTCGGAACTAAATACCTGCTCAACGGGATAATAAACCTGAGTGTATGAGAAAGTAAATAAAATGTCGAAGAATGCTTAGTTTAAACGATATGAAATGAAAAGGTGTCAATCGGCTGTGCTGCCACAGTTAGAAGAGCCAGAATCTAGGCTTATGACGCCCACTGTGCGCAGACTGGCTGAGTGCGCCAGCGTGTGTGTGTGCGCCCCCCAATCGAAATCTTTTTTTAGTATTGAAAGAACAGTCGGGCAAGAAAGTTGGGGCGCAGCAAATCGAGCCAGACAAAGTAAATAACTAAGCATCGGCATACATATAGGCCATATTCCATTCCGATGAATTATCCGTAAACAAGTTGATGATTGAGCAGCAGCTAACAACATTAGTGCGGCGTGTTTTTCTACATTTAGTTAGTTAATCTCTCCGTTTATTTGCATTTATTTGATGTTTTTGTTGCGGTGCGTTTGTGTGTGAACCAATTGTTGCTGCTTCTGCAAAAGTAGTGGTGTCGTGATTAATAAATTCCCAGTGACACAGCCAAAAAAGAAGCAGCGAAGTAATGTGCAATAACAAAGCGATGCCACTTCAAAGAGAGATCACGTTCGGGAGACCCACTTGCTGATTTTTCGAGACTTGGATTTTGTTTGAGTGTTCTATGTGTGTGTCTGTGCATGGGATCAGATTATTATCCCAATCGGGAGCAGCTCCCGTCTCCCAATTGGGAACAGTTTGCCTGGGAACAGTATCTGCGATCCATATCGCCCATTGGATTGCTATCCAGCGCACTTCTAGAGCTTCTGATAAGAAGCTGTGCCGATCAACCTTTGTTTGGTCCGATTGGTGTGTGACATGTGTGTGTTGCAGCAACATTGGCTGGAATTTGTTAGCCATAAATGGCTACGAACCGCCAAGTCAATAAACCCCAGCCCACATCTCGAATTTTCAAAACAGGCGTTGAGAATGGCGAAAATCAATCGAAAGCAAAATTCCATAAGTGGCGGACGTACATCACAACTATTCCTGTATATTTAGACTTATGTATATATTTAGATATTCATCTGGCAGAGAGTGTGTGTGCACTGTGTGCAGGTTCTAAAAGTCCAGAAATACTCTGTGTGCCCACTGACTGGAGGGCACAGGAGAGGGGAGACCAGCCCCAGCCCGAGCCCCAACCCAAAATTGGACCCTCCCACGCACCAGATAGCCAGTTCACCTCTAGAGGAAGTCATATTTTCAATGTCTTTGGCGCAAGTTGCGCTATCCCATTTCCCGCTTTTACCATTTTCCATCATTTCCAACCGTTTGCCACCTTTTGCCGTAAATCATGGCCAATTACGGTCCGCACCCTGGTCCGCGCCAGTTAGTGCGTCACTGTAGCAGTTCCATTTCCAATCCGATACCCAATATCGACATCCCCCAAAAGTCTGGCGAGTGACCTCACGAGATGCGTCATCGTTATTAAAGCGAAAGCCCCAGCAAGCAAACTGAATCAACAGAACAGAACTGAATCAACAGAACATACGCGAAAAGCAGAGAAACGAAACTTGAGGCAAAATACCCAGACCCTTGGCAACCTACCATATCACCTAAGGCAGGGGAGGACTAATCAATGGGGCTTTTTGAGGTTCCTTGTGCACTTCTAAACAGGCCAGTGAAATTGATTGTTGTCATCAAATCGTCGGGAACTGGAATTGGGCCCAAGGCCGATTTGATTTACATGCTGCCGTTCTGACATCTTCGCTGACTTGCAGCACAGCTCGATCATGGTGTGCAATTCAGTAGACTTCGGGTTGAGCTTGGTAAAATCCATGATCGCTCACAATTTGTTTTGGAAACGTATCACTGGACGCATGCCATGAGGAAAGGCGGCTAGATATGGTTACTTTCGCAAGAAACTAGAACGGCACGGTGTGCCTTACTTACTCTTATCTGGCAGTTCAGGTGGAATTCAGAGAGATAGCCCCGAGATGTGTGTCCAACTTCGTGCTTCATCTGGCTCATTTACATTTCTTACGCTTCTTTCAGCTCACTACAGATCTGGCCCACGAGAAAGAGAGTGGAACGCAGCAACTCTGAGACAACCAAACTGAAAGCAGGAAGCAGACGAAAAGCGCAGCCAAAATGCCCGTCTTTCACACAAAAACCATCGAGAGCATTCTAGATCCTGTTGCCCAACAGGTAAGCATCCTAATCGCACGGGGTTCAAACCTTTGGGTATTGGGGCGAGGGCTAAACTTCCGTTTCAAGCAAATCTCTCGTCCGCATAGCTATAACTAGTAGGCAAATTGGCGCCCAAGAAGGTAAAGTTCCATGGTTATTACGACGCTGGTTAGAAGGACTTGCATACGCACGAAGTACACTGGGAAAAGCAGCCGTGGATGTTAAGCTTGACTAGCGAAGAATGTCGCAATCATTGAAACGCCTATCGTTCTTGTACTTTAAAAGCACCATACTCAAGTAGTTTAAAGTTCTTCTCAGAAATTATTTTAAAGTCATAAGACTTATTTGGAAGAATGTCGCAATCATTGAAACGCCTATCGTTCTTGTACTTTAAAAGCACCATACTCAAGTAGTTTAAAGTTCTTCTCAGAAATTATTTTAAAGTCATAAGACTTAATTGGAAACCTCTGCCTTGTGCTAGCCAACTTTTTCCCAGTGTATGTGTACGTGGTAGTTGTGAGATTGTATCTGACTGCGCACCACTGACTCCACTTTCCGCTTTCCCCACCGAAACGCACAGATCGATCACCTATCTATCGTTAGCTATAGTTGCCATTTGCACCTGACTCCCCAACTGCATACGTGTGGCATGTGTGTGGTGCTATGCTATATATTATATATACATTTATGCCACAGTTCTCGCCACCCTTTGCGATCCGGTCGCCCCCTCAATATATATCCATCTACTCATCTGTGTTTCCATCATGAGACGAAACAAACGCGCGGAGCGAAGGTGATTTGCGATCAGCGATCGGCGATTTTCGTTGTTTTGTTTTCTGGCGTTACTTAACGGGTCTAAAAATAAATGAGGTGGAAATAATAAGAATAAATGTTGATCAGAGGCCAGCGCCAACCTGAGCTTCTGAGGACAGGCAGAATTTTAATTTAATAACGCAACAAATGAAAATGAAAAATCAGGCGGAGCAGAGAAAACAAATAAGTGGCGATACTCGGGCATCGGGCATCGGGGATGCGGGGATGAGGGGTGCCTTTTGGCCGAGTTCCAAAAATAGCAGCATAAAATACGTTTAGTAAAAGCCAACAACGGCGGCAACAACATTCGGCGTCAGCGAGAGGAAACAACCAAAATAAAAACATTTACGACGGACAAGCCATGAAAATGAAATCATGCAAAAGCATAGGCTATAGGCTACAGGCTACAGGCTACAGGCTATAGGAGGCTATTGGAGGTGGGGACCCAAGGTGTGGGAGTTGTAGGTGTACCTAGCACATCTGTATCGACGCGGATGAGTGAGGATTGTGGTCTGAGATCTGTGCCAAAAAGCAAACCCAGTGCATTAGTCATCCACCGTGGGGCGGATCGAGCGTGGTGGGTGCTGCTGGCAACAAATGAATTAAAAACGATCATTCACCACATCAATCAGCGCATGGATACATAAGTCGGGCACACACATGTCTCTGTCCGTGTCCGTATAATTAGTCGATGGAGGAGCCACGAGGGCGCGTCCGACTACGTCCGACTAGCGACTAGAGGAGCTTAATTGCATAATTAATTAATCAAGTAGGCCAATTGCTGCTAATTGCAAAAGTGGCGCCCCACAGGAGGGTGCCCCCTGACGTGTGGCCAACCACCTAATCCGCCGGCTTACACCAGTTTAGTCTTAGGTCTTAAGTCTTCGAATTAGCCGCGCTTCGATTTAGTTTCGGTTTAGTGGGGCTCAGTGGAGATTAGCGTCGGCGGACGCTGCGCACTGTTCACTGCCTATAAATAGCCAGATGGCCATGGCCAAAAACACCTTGAGCAGGTGCTGATGTCAAGTCCAAATGCCATGCACCATGTGGCGTTCCATGGCGCCGCCCACGTCCGTTTTCATCTCGAGCGCTCTCCGCCAGCTCCCCGAATCGATGAATGAATGGAGCGCCGTTGGAGAAGCCGTTGGATCCGAGCGATCACGCAGCAAGATCATTAACAGTTTTGCTGCCATAAACAACTCCATTGGAATTGATTGATCAATCAGCGCGCTTGAGCGGGGATGAAGTAATCACTGGTCACCAATGGATATCCAATTGTTTTGCCTCTAATTTAAGAGGCTTCAATCTACAAATCGAATGTGGAACACGAAAGATAATTGATTGCCATTTCAAATACATTTTTTACTTGCTTTGGAATCTAGATATAGAAATGTTGTGTATGGAAGTGTTGGAATATCTGAGGAGGGTAGATTTGTATTAAAGGGAGGCCGATTTCATCTTCTGACTGATCGGACACAATACACATATGTAGGTGCCAATGCATTTCCACTCCCCGCGAATATACATATAGTAATAGCTTCTAGATACAAATTTATATAAAATCCTGTACTAACGATTGCACTATTCCCCGTAACCGGCAGGTATCCCGTCTGGTGATCCTGCACGAGGAGGCCGAGGATGGCAACGCGATGCCGGACCTCAGTCGGCCGGTGCAGGTGGTGTCGGCGGCGGTGGCCAATCTCGTGAAGGTTGGTCGCGAGACAATCAACAGCTCCGACGACAAGATCCTGCGCCAGGACATGCCCTCGGCACTGCACCGCGTGGAGGGTGCCTCGCAGCTGCTGGAGGAGGCGTCCGATATGCTCCGTTCCGACCCGTACTCGGGTCCGGCGCGCAAGAAGCTAATCGAGGGGAGCCGCGGCATCCTGCAGGGCACCTCCTCGCTGCTGCTCTGCTTTGACGAGAGCGAGGTGCGGAAGATCATCCAGGAGTGCAAGCGGGTCCTGGACTACTTGGCCGTGGCGGAGGTGATAAACACCATGGAACAGCTGGTGCAGTTCCTCAACGACCTATCGCCCTGTCTGAGCAAGGTGCATCGGGAGGTGGGCGCCCGCGAGAAGGAGCTGACCCACCAGGTGCACAGCGAGATATTGGTGCGGTGTTTGGAGCAAGTGAAGACCCTGGCCCCAATCCTCATCTGCAGCATGAAGGTCTACATCCACATTGTGGAGCAACAGGGCCGGGGAGCTGAGGAAGCGGCTGAGAACAGGAACTACCTGGCCGCCAGGATGAGCGACGAACTGCAGGAGATCATCCGCGTGCTACAGCTGACCACCTACGACGAGGACACCAGCGAGCTGGACAACCTCACCGTGTTGAAGAAGCTCTCTAATGCGATTTCCAACAAAATGCAGCTGGCCAACGAGTGGCTCTCGAATCCCTATGCCCTGCGGGGCGGCGTGGGCGAGAAGGCTCTGCGCCAAGTGATCGACAATGCCACGGAGATCTCAGAGCGCTGCCTGCCCCAGGACTCTTATCCCATCCGCAAGCTGGCCGATGAGGTGACGGCCATGGCCAACACCTTGTGCGAGCTGCGCCAGGAGGGCAAGGGCCAGAGTCCCCAGGCGGAGTCCCTGGCCAGGGGCATCCGCGATCGCCTGGGAGAGCTGCAATCCCTGGTGCACCAGGCGGTGCTCGGCGTGGACAAGGCTGGAGTTCAGCAGACGGCTCACACCATCCAGGGTCGATTGGAGCAGGCAGTGAAGTGGCTGCAGCACCCGGAAATCAACGACGGTGGCCTCGGAGAGAGGGCCATCAATCTGATTGTGGAGGAGGGTCGCAAGGTGGCCGAGGGCTGCCCCGGCCACCAGAAGGCCGAGATTCAGCAGCTGTGTGATGAAGTGGAGCGCCTCAAGCGCCAGGCGGCCGGAACTGGCCCGGCGGCCAAGCAGGCGGCGAAGCTGCTCACCCAGAAGCTGTACGAGCTGAAGGCGGCCATCCAGAACGCCCTGGTCAACCGCATTGTGCAGGACTTCATGGACGTGAGCACCCCGCTCAAACAGTTTACGGAGGCGGTGCTCCAGCCAGAGGGAACACCCGGACGGGAGCAGAACTTCAACCAGAAGTCGAACAACCTGCAGGCATTCAGCGATCGCGCCTCCAAGACCTCCAGAATGGTGGCCGCCGGTGGAGCCTGCGGCAACAAGAAGATCGCCGAGATCCTGCTCTCCTCTGCCGCCCAGGTGGACTCCCTCACACCACAGCTAATCAGCGCCGGTCGCATCCGAATGAACTACCCGGGCAGCAAGGCCGCGGACGAGCATCTGCAGAACCTGAAGCAGCAATACGCGGACACCGTGCTGCGCATGCGCACCCTCTGCGACCAGGCCACGGACCCGGCGGACTTCATCAAAACATCCGAGGAGCACATGCAGGTGTACGCCAAGCTCTGTGAGGATGCTATCCATGCCCGTCAGCCGCAGAAGATGGTGGACAACACCTCGAACATTGCTCGCCTGATCAATCGGGTCTTGTTGGTAGCCAAACAGGAGGCGGATAACTCGGAGGATCCGGTGTTCACGGAGCGCTTGAATGCCGCCGCCAACCGGTTGGAGCGTTCGCTGCCCGCCATGGTTGGCGACGCCAAGCTGGTGGCCACCAACATTGCCGATCCGGCAGCAGCGGCCGCTTGGAAGAACTCCTTCCAGCGGCTCCTTGGCGATGTGCGGGAGGTGCGAGATGCCATTGCGCCGCCGCAGCCACCACCACTGCCCACTTCCCTGCCGCCACCCATTCCGGAGCTGAGCGCCCTGCATCTATCCAATCAGAATGGTGACTATCCATATCCTCACCCATCTCATGGTAAATGTGTTAATTGATTCTTGTCTTTGCCAGCCGAGCGAGCACCTCCACGCCCACCACTGCCCAGGGAAGGCTTGGCGCCCGTCCGTCCGCCACCTCCAGAAACGGATGATGAGGACGAGGGCGTCTTCCGCACGATGCCACATGCCAATCAGCCCATCCTGGTGAGTAAAACAGCCATTTGCAGAGCTAGAGTGGCTACTAAACCGCTTTTTTGCCCGTAGATCGCCGCCCGTGGCTTGCACCAGGAGGTGCGCCAGTGGTCGTCCAAGGACAACGAGATCATTGCGGCCGCCAAGCGCATGGCGATCCTGATGGCCCGTCTCAGCGAGCTGGTGCTGTCCGACTCGAGGGGCAGCAAGCGGGAGCTGATCGCCACGGCCAAGAAGATTGCCGAGGCCTCCGAGGACGTGACCCGACTGGCCAAGGAGTTGGCCCGCCAGTGCACTGATCGCCGCATCCGCACCAACCTGCTCCAGGTGTGCGAACGCATACCCACCATCGGCACCCAGCTGAAAATCCTGTCCACCGTGAAGGCCACGATGCTGGGCGCCCAGGGATCCGACGAGGATCGCGAGGCCACCGAAATGCTCGTGGGCAATGCCCAGAACCTGATGCAGAGTGTAAGTTACAAAATGCTTGGTAATGGCGGCACTCCATTCGCAGGAAGCTTCTGTGCTGGATTCTGTGATTACCCTTTACCATTCCCATTCCATTGCTAAATCCTCTCTCTTGCCATGTGCGATTCCAGGTGAAGGAGACGGTGCGCGCCGCCGAGGGAGCCAGCATCAAGATCCGGTCGGACCAGACCAGCAATCGCCTGCAGTGGGTGCGCCGACAGCCCTGGTACCAGTACTAGGCTATTGTTAGTGCCTACTGGGATGCTGGAGCCAGGCACCTGACCATCTGCCCACCGCCCACGTGCCCGAATGCCACTAGCCGCGTGCCTTGTGTAACATACAAAGCTAAACACTAATCTTAATGATTTCTATTTTAAATGTTAATCCCTAATCTGTTCCATCTGAACGCCAGTTATGTAAGTGCCTGCAATTATTTATTATGTGCTCCAAGAACTCGTGCTCATGTCCCCGCCCAGTTCCGCCCCCTTGACCCCTTCCTCAGCACCCTTTGCCCTTGTCCCTCCCCCCACCCGATCCTATGCTGATTTTGTTTCGATAATTTTAGTAAGCACATTAATTATTAAGCGTGCAATAAAGCGTGCAAAGCGAAAGCCACGGAAAAGAGAGAGGAACAGGAAAGCAATATGTACATAAAGCAGTCAGATTTAAGCGAATGCAACGTATAAAATAAGAGACCATTTGCAATGGGCTTGCGCTCCAAGGAATCTAAATCGCCCCTTCATCGTATTTGTAGTGTACTAACAGAAGCATTTATCAAAGCCCTTGTTTGCGTTTCAGAGTCCAGTTTATGTTCGAAATCTAACTCACTAAAACAGCGACGGATGCGCGAAGCCCACGTTTTAACCCAAAACGCTGTGTGTCATGTTCAATATATAATAAAATAAAGCTGAACTTCGAGTGTTAATTGGCGTATGGGTTGTTTTGTTACTTTGAACCGAATGTGACCCGCCTGACTTCCTTTCGCGTTGCATTTTCGTTGGCGCCTGAAAGTATGCTACGATTATTGCTCTTTTGTAGGGCGTTTCCGCACAATGCGTATTCGCCATGTTGGCTTGAAACAACCAATTGCGTACTGCAGGAAGTAAAGCATATTACGTATACGTAAGTGGCTGCAAGTACGCTAATCAAACGCAATGTTGCTTATCACAGATAATATGCGTTGGGAAAAATAAAGGCTAATACAGGCTAATACGGAATTCAGTACATGCAAGACTAAATCAGGCATCATTTTATTTATTGCTAGAAAGTACATATAAATGTTTGAACAATGATACAATGACCTCAATGGGCTAACAATAATTCCAATAAAAGGCTAGTGTTTATTTTTCGACGGCCGCATATCCGCCAGCTGTGCCTGTCCAGCGAGCAGTCGGGAAATCCGAGAGCCACCAGACTATAATTAGCTGTCACTCCGAGAAAAGCGAGAAAACTCGCACGATCAGAGAGTTTCCGCTGCGGCGGCGGTCAGTAGCGTTTCGATTATCGACGGAATCGAGAGAGAGTTGCCCTTACTGCAGCCGACATGTCCACTAGCACACATGTTCCAGAGGAACCGAGATCCTCGAACCAAATGACCATCAGTGCCTCCACGCAGGAGCTAGCCGAGCTGATAAACATTCACTTGGGTGAACTGCGACCGCAGGATCCCTCTTGGCGGGTGGCCGACTCACCCATATCCGGCAGGGGCATCTTTGCCACCAGGGAAATTGCCCCTGGCGAGGAGCTCTTCCGGGAGCACACGTTGCTGGTGGGTCCAACAGCTCATCGGTCCACTAATCTGCGCACTTGCACCCTCTGCTACCGCCTGATTCCGGGCTCCACGGACTCGGCAGCCCTCTGCCCGGCCGGATGCGGCTTACCAGTTTGCTCGGAGTGTCGGGACTCCTCGCGTCACGACCTGGAGTGCAAGCTCTTTCGCAAGTGGAAGCCACTGGAGAGCCAGAGAATCGAACCGCGCGCCCTGAGAATTCTTAGTGTTGTGCGATGCTTCTTTCTGGACGAAGCCGCCCGGAAGTTGCTGTATGCCATGCAGGCCAATATGGATCGCTACTATATGCAGGAGGTCCAACGGGCTGCCGATTGCTTTGAGCACTTTCCGCGGGAGCAGGACATGTTGGACTACTTCTACCGCACCATCTGCGCCTTCAACACCAATGCCTTCGAAAGCCGGAGCAATGTGGATGGCCACGAGGTGTTGGTGAGGGCGCTGTTCCCTTTGGCTGGACTCCTGAACCACCAGTGCACCCCGAATGCAGCGCACCATTTCGAAAACGGAGAAACCATTGTGGTGTGCGCCACTGAAAGGATTCCAGCTGGAGCCGAGATCACCATGTCGTACGCCAAGTTGCTTTGGTCAACGCTGGCTAGGAAAATATTCCTCGGAATGACTAAGCACTTCATCTGCAAGTGCGTCCGATGCCAAGATCCCACGGTGAGTTTACTTGTTAGCTGATTTTTCCGTTTGGATGAGGCACTGCATCGCAAGCGGGCCAATGGGAGCGGCAGTGTCACTATCGTCGAGAACTGCCACCGAAATAGCTCAGTCGATAGGGCCGAAAAATGTCATCACAGGGGCATACGAGAAGGGGACTTTCTACATAGTAATTTACGATTCTCAGCAGCTCTGTGCTGCTGACTGCTTACTGGGAAACTCTTTGCAGCAACTAGATGCCAATTTTTATATATACATTCATGTTACCAAAATGAAAGTGCGCTATATAAACTACTTTTAAGATCTTGAGATTGGCTTTGAAATGCTTTGCTGCTGGAAATAAAGCCCCTTGTTAGACGCCCCTGGATTTAGGCCAGGGAATGCAAGTGTGCGCGTGAGAGAAACATCCGATGAGCAATAAATCAATGCGATTAAGTGAATGATTAAGTCAAGGCAGCTGGCCGAAAGCGAAAGCACAAGAAGATCCCAAAACGCGTCACATTGAGGATCTGCCTTCAGTGAGTACTGATTTTGTTGTGAAGAAAAGCTCACAGACGAGTAATCGGGATACCATATTCCTGAACGAACCAAATAAGAGTGCATGTCACCACATAGAAGTATTTCGATACCATCACAATAACTTCCTTTTTTTAATGACATCTTCTTGGAACTAAGATTGGCTACCGCACTGGGGGCAATAACCAAGTAAACTGTTCGCCCACAATGTAGTAGCCGGTGTATTTTATTGTATGATTCAATTCGGGCAGTCTGCCAATACTGCCACATTGGAGGCGCTCCAACTAGTTTAAGTACCCACACACACAAGCCCACACTGAATTACTTATATACGAATTCGGATACTGTCAAAGATCGCATATCACGTCAAAACAGCCTTTTTCCTCCCTTCTCTTCAATACCCCATTGACCCAGTCGCACGTCAATCTACTAAAATACTAGTTTTTCCTTTTGTTTTCGCTCGCTCTGTGCGCCTTTAAATATAAAATTGTAGCACAAATTCTTTAAAACTTAAACGGAATACCCAGAAAGCGGCCTAGCGATAAAGAATCATTTGAAATTTGTCGAGTATTTCGTTCCGTTTGGGGGAAAAAGTTTTCTATGCTCTGCTCATTACACTAGGTAATGTATTTGTAGAGGCACATATGTCACATTGGCCACAATCTGAAATTTCCGTTCGCCTGGTAATTTCAACCAAAAAAAATGTATCTATTTTCGAACCAAAAAACACAATAAATAATGTTTTTAACTTGGCCAAAAGGGCTAAATGAAGACATTCTGAAAATTATTTGACAATTATTTTAATGCCATCGACAAAATACTGATTATTTCCTACCAAAAAAACACAAATTAGAAAAATTCCATTTTTCCATCTTCGATCAATCATCAAAATTTCAAAAAAATTCCAAAAAATTTACATATTTTTGTTTGAACACAGGACGATAGGAAATTTTGTTACAAATTCAACAAGGTATGACATTCTAGCTTTGGACAATTATTTTTAATGCTATCGACAAAATACTGATTATTTTCTACCAAAAAAACACAAAATAGAAAAATTCCATTTTTCCATCTTCGATCCATCGCCTGATTATGATCGCCTGGTCATTCAAACCGAAAAATCTCACAATTTTGCCTACAAAATGTAAATTTTTATAGCAAATTGTAGATTTTTCGGCTTGAATTACCAGGCGATCATAATCAGCAGCAGGCTGCTACAGAAAACCAAACGATCGTTGGTCACCTTCTGGAGTTCCTGTTCGCCTGGTAATTCAAACCGAAAAATCTCACAATTTTGCCTGCAAAATGTAAATATCTATGGCAAATTGTAGAGTTTTCGGCTTGAATTACCAGGCGATCATAATCAGCAGCAGGCTGCTACCGAAAACCAAACAATCGTGGTCACCTTCTGGAATTCCTGTTCGCCTGTTAATTCAAACCGAAAAATCTACAACTTTTTATGGGAAATTGTAGATTTTTCGGCTTGAATTACCAGGCGATCATAATAAGTAGCTGGCTGCTACCGAAAACCAAAAGATCATTGGTCACCTTCTGGAGTTCCTGTTCGCCTGGTAAGATAGTGAATTTTGTTACAAATTCAACGAGGTATGACATTCTAGTATTGGACAATTATTTTGAATGCTATCGACAAAATACTGATTATTTCGTACCAAAAAAAACACAAAATAAAAAATTGCCATTTTTCTATTTTCCATCATCAAAATTTGCGAAAAATGGCAAAAAATTATAGTTTTTTTGTTTAAATGCAGATCGATAGGAAATTTTATTACGAATTCAACGAGGTATGACATTCTAGTCTTGGACAATTATTTTTATTGCTATCGACAAAATACTGATAATTTCGTACCAAAAAAAAAAAAACAAATTAGAAACTTTCCATTTTTCCATCTTCGATCCATCATCAAAATTTCCAAAAAATTGAAAAAAATTTTAATTTTTTTGTTTGAACACAGGACGATAGGAAATTTTGTTACAAATTCAAGAAGGTATGACATTCTAGCTTTGGACAATTATTTTTAATGCTATCGACAAAATACTGATTATTTACTACCAAAAAAACACAAAATAGAAAAATTCCATTTTGCCATCTTCAATCCATCATCAAAATTTCAAAAAAATTGAAAAAAATTTTAATTTTTTTGTTTGAACACAGGACGATAGGAAATTTTGTTACAAATTCAACAAGGTATGACATTCTAGCTTTGGACAATTATTTTTAATGCTATCGACAAAATACTGATTATTTTCTACCAAAAAAACACAAAATAGAATAATTCCATTTTTCCATCTTCGATCCATTGCCTGATTATGATCGCCTGGTCATTCAAACCGAAAAATCTCACAATTTTGCCTACAAAATGTAAATTTTTATAGCAAATTGTAGAGTTTTCGGCTTGAATTACCAGGCGATCATAATCAGCAGCAGGCTGCTACAGAAAACCAAACGATCGTTGGTCACCTTCTGGAGTTCCTGTTCGCCTGGTAATTCAAACCGAAAAATCTCACAATTTTGCCTGCAAAATGTAAATATCTATGGCAAATTGTAGAGTTTTCGGCTTGAATTACCAGGCGATCATAATCAGCAGCAGGCTGCTACCGAAAACCAAACAATCGTGGTCACCTTCTGGAATTCCTGTTCGCCTGTTAATTCAAACCGAAAAATCTACAACTTTTTATGGGAAATTGTAGATTTTTCGGCTTGAATTACCAGGCGATCATAATAAGTAGCTGGCTGCTACCGAAAACCAAAAGATCGTGGTCACCTTCTGGAGTTCCTGTTCGCCTGGTAATTCAAACCGGAAAATCTCACAATTTTGCCTGCAAAATGTAAATATCTATGGCAAATTGTAGAGTTTTCGGTTTGAATTACCAGGCGATCATAATCAGCAGCAGGCTGCTACAGAAAACCAAACGATCGTTGGTCACCTTCTGGAGTTCCTGTTCGCCTGGTAATTCAAACCGAAAAATCTCACAATTTTGCCTGCAAAATGTAAATATCTATGGCAAATTGTAGAGTTTTCGGCTTGAATTACCAGGCGATCATAATCAGAAGCAGGCTGCTACAGAAAACCAAACGATCGTTGGTCACCTTCTGGAGTTCCTGTTCGCCTGGTAATTCAAACCGAAAAATCTCACAATTTTGCCTGCAAAATGTAAATTTGTATGGAAATTTTTATGGATTTTTCGGTTTGAATTACCAGGCGATCATAATCAGTAGCAGGTTGCTACCGAAAAACAAAAGAACATGGTCACCTTCTAGAGTTCCTGTTCGCCTGGTAATTCAAACCGAAAAATCTACAACTTTTTATGGCAAATTGTAGAGTTTTCGGCTTGAATTACCAAGCGATCATAATCAGCAGCAGGCTGCTACCGAAAACCAAACGATCGTTGGTCACCTTCTGGAGTTCCTGTTCGCCTGGTAATTCAAACCGAAAAATCTCACAATTTTGCCTGCAAAATGTAAATATCTATGGCAAATTGTAGAGTTTTCGGCTTGAATTACCAGGCGATCATAATCAGCAGCAGGCTGCTACCGAAAACCAAACGATCGTTGGTCACCTTCTGGAGTTCCTGTTCGCCTGGTAATTCAAACCGAAAAATCTACAACATTTAATGGCAAATTGTAGAGTTTTCGGCTTGAATTACCAGGCGATCATAATCAGCAGCAGGCTGCTACAGAAAACCAATCGATCGTTGGTCACCTTCTGGAGTTCCTGTTCGCCTGGTAATTCAAACCGAAAAATCTCACAATTTTGCCTGCAAAATGTAAATTTGTATGGAAATGTTTATGGATTTTTCGGTTTGAATTACCAGGCGATCATAATCAGTAGCAGGTTGCTACCGAAAACCAAAAAAACAAAGGTCACCTTCTGGAATTCCTGTTCGCCTGGTAATTCAAACCGAAAAATCTCACAATTTTTCCTACAAAATTTACATTTTTATGGCAAATTGAAGATTTTTCGGCATGAATTACCAGGCGATCATAATAAGTAGCAGGCTGCTACCGAAAACCAAAAGATCATTGGTCACCTTCTGGAGTTCCTGTTCGCCTGGTAAGATAGGGAATTTCATTACGAATTCAACGAGGTATGACATTCTAGTCTTGGACAATTATTTTTAATGCTATCGACAAAATACTGATAATTTCGTACCAAAAAAAAAAAAACAGAAAATAAAAAATTGCCATTTTTCTATTTTCCATCATCAAAATTTGCGAAAAATGGCAAAAAATTATAATTTTTTTGTTTAAATACAGATCGATAGGGAATTTTATTACGAATTCAACGAGGTATGACATTCTAGTCTTGGACAATTATTTTTAATGCTATCGACAAAATACTGATTATTTCGTACCAAAAAAGAACACAAAATAAAAAATTTCCATTTTTCCATTTTCCATCATCAAAATTTGCGAAAAATGGCAAAAAATTATAATTTTTTTGTTTGAACACAGGACGATAGGAAATTTTGTTACAAATTCAACA